TATGGTCAATTGCAAGGTACGTCACACCCAGCATTCAGCCAAGTGCATGCAGTATGCTAGTGATCATAATAATGGGTACCTTCTTGGAAGGATATAATTATTCCTCTAAGGTAAATAAAATCCGGGGAATTGTGTATTGCTCCCTACGTGGGCGCTCGCGCTTTTCCTGCAGACTTGACTTGGTACTTGACTGGCTCACGAATGCCATCCATTTCACATGAGAAGCTCATCAAACCATCCACTCGGCTAATCTGCAAGAAAGCATCACTCTCTCAATACACAGTGCTTCGGGGAATTTACCTCTCGTCGGTTGAGCTTGCCAAGCTTGAGTAGACTAATGAAATTGGAATTACTAGTACCGTATTTCCGCGCATATAAAGCCATGGCGTTATATCCGAATATAAGGCCACCCTCACTTATAAAGCCATGGCGTTATAAGTGAACAAAATTCAATGTGGAGGAAGTTGCATCCGGCGTTAAAGGTGAGTTCAATTCTTTCAGTAATAAACCTACAGTAGCCGTGATTCTCTCTACATGTACCCATCCCCGCTGTCACATGCCATACCGCCACCGCACCTTCACACAAGTTTGTATGCCACCTTGTACAGTCAGACCTCGCATAACCGCACACATCCGTTTTCCACAAAATATCCGGATAAGCGAGGGAACCGGATTATCGAACACACATACTGTGTGCATGCATGGCATATGCTGTAAATCGGTAGCCAACGATTTTCTTGCGGATGGCGAGGGATCCGGATCAAAGAGGACCGGATAAGCGAAGTCTGACTGTACACTATAGGTTCACAATTTGAAATTTTCAGGGAAAATTGAAAGTATATGGATGCTCGACATGAACGTGCAACGGCACCATACGAGTACTCGAAGTTCATACTCTGCCGATTTTTTCATGTAAGCGTCTCTTACTTTTAGCGCCATGGCGTTAAAACCGAGGCTATTTTCTCCAAACATTTGGTCCAAAACAGCGATGTTTCACCTATAAAGCCATGGCTTTATATGCGCGGAAATACGGTATGCAGCAGCCCAGACATCACTACATGTAGGGATACCAATCCTGACCAATAAACAGTGTTTCCGGGAATTCATCCCTTATCAGCGACAAGTTGGTCTGGAGGCAGCAACGCTGTGAATGGCCAAAGGTCCTCGGCGCTTGCTCTGCACCTCCATCATGCTGCTGTCTGGAGTTCGCGAGATACGAGTATTTGTCGCGCTGGGAACACAGTGTCACTGTAAGTTGGTATCTCTACCGGTACTGATGTTTCGGCTGCTGGAACGCCATACATCCCTTCAAAACGGTGAACCCCTTGATAGGCGACAAGCCTCTGGGTCATCCTAATAAAGACATTATTATTATTCTAGTGCTGCTGCAGCACACTTTTCCTTAGGCTACTTAAGTTCAAGGGAATGGTGCTTTCTTGCAGGTTTGCCGAGTGGAAGGTTCGGTGGACTTCTCGTGTGCTCTGGATGACAGCCGTGAGTCAGTCAAGTATCAAGTCAAGTCGGCAGGAAAAGCGCAACCTCCCATGTAGGGAGCAACACACAATTCTGTTATGGTTGCCGAAACAGCCATGACTATTTTAGCTCCTGTCAAGCTCCTGTAAGAAAGCCAATGGCCTATGGAAGACACTTCAGTAAAAATAAATAAATAAAAAAGAAGATGGTGGTGGTGGTGGTGGCGGCGGCGGCGGCGGCGGTGGTGGTGGTTATTTTGTTAAAGACTCTGAGTTGCAACGAACCTTCCTGTTGACCTGCTGTGCGAATAAGCTTTGCATTAGGCTATAGAGCACTATTTGGACAGTAGATGGCATTCTGTTTGCATGCACCTGTAACGTAGATGCAAGTACATGTAGATGAGCTTGCTACACCGAGTACTGAGGTATGTGCTCAGCCCATGTCTCTCATCCTGATCTTATGAATCGCCTGGTGATGGATTGCATTGTCTTCCCGGAAGACAGGCTTAGTGGAGCTCTCAAGACACTGAAGAAGACAGATTTGTTTCACAACTTATAATAATAGAAGCGGTGTGTGTGTGTGTGTGTGTGTGTGTGTGTGTGTGTGTGTATTGTTTGCTCTTAGAAATGCACAGAGGGGGGGAGTTTCTCAACCAGCGTGCTCAGAAGCTATCATCAGCGGTTCTCGCCCATGCATCTCGGCCTGTCAGTAGGGAGTATGTGTGTGATCTCCTGGCCCTTGCCTGCCATCTGCTGTGGCTTCCTGGCCGTGCCAAAGAGGCAGTTGTACATCTTGATACTGCCATGAAGTCTCTCGCTGCCAACTCGTATGGTGGAGAACTGGTACGGTGTGTAGTTTTCGCATCCTCACCACCCCCAACACATACCTTTCACGCCCATCGCCGGAGGCGATGATAGCAATGCTACGGCAGAAGCCATAGCAACTTGTGCTCGGATTGCACCATTCAACATGAACACTTGACCGTCACTATTCAGCCTGGTCTACACCATACAGCTATTTGGAGTGACTTTTTCTGGCCAGTGAATCCCTATTTTTGGTCTTTTCATTTTTTTCCTGCACACACATCACACCACATACTCCGGCATGCACTGGCTGTTGGTAACCACCCAGGAGAATGATAGAAAAGTCAGGAAGAGTCTGAGAAAGAGAAGAAAGACATGTGTGACCATACTAGTAATCGTCGGGAATCGAACCCGCAACCTATCGATTGGAAATCGCTGCACATACCACTGCACCATATGGGACGCACACCAACACATACACACACACACACACACACACACACACACACACACACACACACACACACACACACACACACACACACACACACACACACACACACACACACACACACACACACACACACATAGAAGAGTATAGACGTATAGTGTCTGTGAGTGCTGATGTCTCGTAAGACAGGTAGTCTCTAACTACAGTGATCACCGGTGTATGAACAAACTCCTGATCTTGGCCCTTGCCCTCTGTTCTGAGTACTCACTCCACTTTGCATGCCCACCCAACCAGCAACCAAAATAGGAAAATATTCTACTTTGAAGTACATGTATATTATTAATCCTTTGCTTTACTCCCAATAACTTGTTCACCTTTGCTATGCCTTCGCATTGGTCAGCTGTACTGTTCATTATCTGTTTGTTTTTGTTTGTTTCCGTCTTAGGAGAAATCACTACGGTATGCTATGGCCCGTGCAGATGTGCAGTTCAAGGCGGACTGCCGAAGACGAGAAGCTCTCAAGCTCCAGCGACACGCTGCGTCGCTCCCAGAGTTCCGCACGGTCAGTGTGTTGGTATATGTGCTGTTTTCTGCGGCTGTGACGAAACTCAATATTGTCAGCTTTTCAGCTTATTGGCGGTGAGTTGGTGATGAAACGTACAGAAGTAGGAAATGATGGTCCAACTTTTGCACGTTTCATCGCCACTTCACCGCCAATAAGCTTTATGAATTGATATTGTTGTGCTTCGTCACGGTATTAGTGTTTATTACCGTACGTACTGACTCCAGTGTGTTTATTTCCATGTACTGACTCCAGTGTGTTTATTTCCATGTACTGACTCCAGTGTGTTTATTACCATGTACTGACTCCAGTGTTTATTACCATGTACTGACTCCAGTGTTTATTACCATGTACTGACTGCAGTGTGTTTATTACCATGTACTGACTGCAGTGTTTCTGCTAAGTCTATTACCTTGACCCATTTTCACTTCCCTTTCATCCCATACACCCTTCCAGGAAACTCCCCTGATAAGTATTCATTACCTTTGGAGAATCCTTCAAGTCAGAATGAATGAATGGAACTTGAGAAGTAATGATACGAAAGGCCTCATCAGGTTCACAGCAGGCTTCGTCTTTACGTGTGTTTTTAAATATGTTCCGTCCGCCTAAATCCCTATTCAATCATTTACTCAGTAGGTTGTTTTGTACCTGAACAATCTACGACTGTCGTTGTTGCCTTTCTGCAGGTCCGGTGCATTGCTGCGGATGAGCTGAATGATCACTTGCACGCTTGGCATGAACAAGCTGAGCCGGTTCTGGTTAAGGGCCTTGCTTGGACTATGACATCCACCAAGTGGTCATTTCAGCATATTCGGTAAGCGAGCCGAACACTGTTCAATCCAGGGAGTAGTAAAATACCGGTATTTTATTACTCCCTGGTTCAGTCTGTCGTGAGCAACCACTCCTGTCGGAGATAATAACCAGTAGTGGTTTATGGTTCTGGTTAGCAACGATCTGCAGGAGGCGGTGAGAGTCAAGACTTATTCGCAGAAGAGTATACCGTATGTCTTCGTGGAATTCAAGCCGTACTAATTTGTAGGTTGAGGATATATGGGTGAAGTGGTGGCCCGTGCAATGAGAAGGTATTTGCTAGATGTGTTTCTCAACACTTCAGGTGATGCGGCCGCGACTCCGGCTAATGTTATTTTGACCTTTTTATTACTAGTTTTGTATAATGTGTCTATGTACTTTGGTGGTTGCGTGCTTGGCAAGCTATGTCGACATTATTGAGCATTGGCTTTCCAAGCATGAGGTTACTGGTTTGATTCCCGGTTTGGGTGGAGATTATATCCGCCCCCAGGCTTGGACTAGGTACCTAACTTTGGCTGATGAGGCAAAGGCGACGAAGGATAGTCGGAGGAGACGAGCACTGCCCTCATTATGAGCTCATTGAAAAAAGAGGTCTCGAACACCTCCTGCCCCTATGATCAGAATGTACTATGGGCTACCTTTGCATGTAGCTTGCATAGGATGCTCCTACCCAAGTCATTTTTCTCTTAGGTAGAGGGGACAGTTTCAAATAGGACACAGGTTGCAAACCGGAACGGACTCAATATTCACTTTCTCTCTTGGTATTTTGATTAGAAAACATATGTCACAGTGAGACTACGATGTGTTATACTCCGAGCCAAAATTTTATGGCTCTGCGATGACCAGAAGCGCCATATCAAGCAGGTGAGTTTTTGACGTGTTGTTTCACACAGCGACTTGAGTTTTACGACTTTCGAAAAATCAACTTCTTGTCGCAGGTAAACAGCGGCTCGCCTCTCACCAATAAAGCACCGCATACCAATCAAAACTAATGGAAGCACACACAAGGCTTATTGTTACTCTGTACTGGCCGTCGTGGAGCGATAGCAATTACCTAATTTCAGACCCAGAGTGAATTTGACGTGCACTCTAAAACGTGTTCGGTTTGGAGCCACCTCTGACTTGAACTTTTTTGAAGCGAAAAATTGGGCAACTTGGAGGCAATGGGTCAACGCAAAGGAGTGGCTCAGTTCGATTGACTCTGGCCCCAGAGCAAACTTCAACACGCCAGTTTCCTTCCACAAACATATTTCGAGTGAAAAATCAACGCTGATGATCGGTTTGGGTCTAAACAAATTTGGCTGTCAAAGCGTCCCGGTATCGAGCCGTCCCCTCTACACAGTGCTGGCCAGTGACTCCCAGCCCAAGCACACTTTCTGCTTCATCCACTGTGTGTCATCTACTGTGTGTTCTCCGCGGTATGTCGGTGTGTCGATGCAGGGATGTAGCTGGCCACTGCAGCGTGGAACTGATGAAACCTAGCTCTCAGTCAGCGCTCTGGGCAAAGCTGGAAACCTCAACGACCAGTCTGGTTCGTGACTTTATCGACCGTCTACTCACGGCGAACGCATTAGCCGGAAATGGAAGTGATTGTCCGTCTACAACTCAGTCGCCAACCTGTGATGAACCTGCCGCCAAACGTAGCATGCCCTCTAAGCAAGCGGCTGACGACTGTGACTACCTGTTTGACTGGAGCCTGCCTTTGAACTGTCCTGAGCTGGCTGCAGAAGTCTCCGTGCCACCTGGCCTGGCAGATAATTGGCTGAGCAATCTATCGGAGGGCACACAGTATCATAACAGTTGGCCAAGTTTGTTCGCTGCTCCCAGTGGTCTGGCCAGTGGACTCCATATAGATGCGTTTTGCTCGAGTTTCTGGATGGCCGTTTTCGAGGGGACGAAAAGGTAGGATGACGTGTGTGTGTGTGTGTGTGTGTGTGTGTGTGTGTGTGTGTGTGTGTGTGTGTGTGTGTGTGTGTGTGTGTGTGTGTGTATGTATGTATGTATGTATGTATGTATGTATGTGTGTGTGTGTGTGTCACCAGTCTGCTAACTTGTGTGTGTGTGTGTGTGTGTGCTTCATTATAACTTGTGTGTGTGTGTGTGTGTGTGCTTCATTATAACATCATGGTATTGACATATTTCCCAGGCTCCCCCAATGTCCATACAAATTTCTGGACTCTATGTATTCTACAGTTCTAGTCAATGAAGGTAGAAGAGCACGCACCTACTTGTAGTATTAAGGCCATGCCATATTCAAACCTGCAGTGCAGTGATCTAGAAATGTTAGGGACGCTGACAGTGATGCATTCAAGCCAGGTGTCATGTACTGAAGTATACATGTAATGATGGATAACTAGTATACAGAGAAGTAACAAGTATCAGTCCAACGAATAACATGTGTGTGTGTGTGTGTGTGTGTGTGTCTGTGTGTGTCTGTGTGTGTCTGTGTGTGTCTGTGTGTGTCTGTGTATGTGTGCATTTTGCAGGTGGACAATTTTTCCACGCGATGAAGCTGCCATGCTATCCCCGACCTACCCATTTTCCTTGGATGCTGCACTACCGATGGATGTGACTGGCTGGAATGATCCCATGTCAAGTCTTGCTACTGATTACCCAGCACTTACCATGACTCATCCCTGGCAAGTGTGTGTAGAGGCTGGGGATGTGCTGCTGGTACCATGGGGTTGTGCGCATCAAGTAAGTGCAGAATGATGATGGTGGTTGCTGCACGTGTGTGTGTGTGATGATTTTGAGTTTGCCGATGACGCCGTCCTACTCGCAACAACTCGTGCTGCAGCCGACCTGTCCCTGTCCGCCTTCTGCGATGTGGCATCCAGCTTTGGCCTCACGGTCAGCATGACAAAGACTAAGCTACTGGTCGCGGGCTATGGAGTCGCTGCCGCTGATTGTTCCGATCTGGCAGTTGGCAATGAAAGGGTTGAAGCTGTTACCTCCTTCCCCTATCTTGTATCTGTTATAACTCCGGATTCGCGAGCTCATGCCGCTGTCCAGAGCCGCCTTGCGAAGGGTGCCAGGGCCTTTGGCTGTCTTCGGCGGATTTTACATGATCAGAGCCTGAACCTGCCTACTCGACGGCATTTGTATGTGGTATGTGTTCTCGCCACGGTTTTGTATGGCTCGGAGTGTTGGACCCCATTGAAGTCGGACTTGGACAAGCTGGACAGGTTCCATCACGCCAACCTACGGTCAATCCTTGGCATTTCGCGCGGCCGCCAGTGGGAGCAGCACATTACATCGGAGCAACTACGCACACAGTGGGGTGACCCTACTCCACTGTCGTGCATGGTACAGCGAAGACGCTTGGAGTGGCTTGGGCACCTAGCTCGGCTTGATAACAATCGGTTACCCAAGCAGTTGCTCTTCGCTCATCTCCCACTAACCCGCCCGTTTTGCGGCCCCCGACATCGCTGGAAGGACGTTGTCCAGGCTGATCTGACTGTGGCCGGTGTGCACAATTGGTTCCAATCAGCCAACGATCGCGGAGAGTGGCGTGACATAGTGTCGGCAGCAGCGGGGGTGAAGGAGCCTGCCCCGAAGACGATTGTGTGCCATGTTTGCGGCCGCCTGTTTCGTCGGCGCGCCGACATGGCCCGGCACAAGTGCACAGCAGTCCGACAGCTCCCCGTATCACAGCAGCCTGGGTCGGTGCAGTGTCCTGCCTGCAGTAGATGGCTCCGGAGCAGGGGTGGGCTTGCAGTGCATAAGTGCCTAGGGAGTGGCAACTGTGACGACCGACCGCCTTTTGATGCTCCTCCTGTTGCCGAGGTCCCGGTGTGTACTGCCTGCCAGCGTACTTTCAAGTCTACTGCTGGCCTCAAGCGCCATCGCTGTGGACCCCGCCCGAAGCGCCCTACAGTGACTGATCGCCAGCACTTTGAACATCATTGCCGAGTCTGTAATCAACGCCAGTTTCGGAGGCGACAGGACCTGGAGCGCCATTTGAAGCACTGCCTACCTCTCCCCTAACCTCTCTGACAGTACCTCCCTTTGGGGAGCGGCGTGGCCATTTCTGGCAGCTGTCAATAGTAGTAGTAGTAGTAGTAGTAGTAGTGTGTGTGTGTGTGTGTGTGTGTGTGTGTGTGTGTGTGTGTGTGTGTGTGTGTGTGTGTGTGTGTGCATGTGTGTGTGTGTGCATGTGTGTGTGTCTGCCAGACAAGCAGAACAGACCTCGACCATCACCGGTTGTGTGCCAAACTTGTCACCGCTCCTTCAGTCGTGTAAGTGACAGGAAGCGACACAAGTGTACAGCTACGCGTGCCCTACCCGTAAGCCAACAGCCAGGAAGCTGTCACTGCGATCAGTGCGACAGATGGTTCCGGAGCAAGGGTGGATTTGCCCGACACAAGTGCTCGCCACCAACATCACCAGCAGAGGCATCTTCTGACACACTTGAGTCACCGGTTACAAACAATATGTCCTGCGAACGCTGCAGTTTCCACTGCGCCCGCTGCAACCGCTGTGTGCTATCGCGCCAAGGCATGAAACGTCACAAGTGCAGCCGTGGCTCGGCCAGAGCAACCAACACAGACCGTAGCTCCTTCTGTATCGTTTGCAATTGCGGTCGGCGTTTCAGTAGACCACAGGACCTATCCCGTCATCGCCCCTACTGTTCCGAACCTGCTCAACCCCCCATGGGGTCCGCATAGCCAGAATATGGCAGCGCGTCCAAGGTCCAAGGTGTGTGTGTGTGTGTATGTGTGTGTGTGTGTGTGTGTGTGTTTACTATCGTTACAGCAAGGATAGCAAGAGAGAGAGACAGACAGACAGACAGACAGACAGACAGACAGACAGACAGACAGACAGACAGACAGACAGACAGACAGACAGAGAGAGAGAGAGAGAGAGAGAGAGAGAGAGAGAGAGAGAGAGAGAGAGAGAGAGAGAGAGAGAGAGAGAGAGAGAGAGAGAGAGAGAGAGAGAGAGAGAGAGAGAGAGAGAGAGCGAGAGAGAGAGTAATGAGTTAACGTTCAGAAACATGTGATGGTGTTAGGAGTCCGTAAACCAGAGATACATTAATCTGCCCCCCCCCCCTTCCCTTCCGATAATGACTGTCATGTTTGTGATGGTGGTTGTTTTGCATGTGTGCATCTGTCTGCCTGTGTGTACTTCCTACAGGTTGAGAATGTTGGCACAACACTTGCCATATCCAGCAACGTTGTCACACGGCACAACGCCAAGGAATCCATATCTTGGCTATCACTGCAGCGTCTCGAAGATCCCAATGCTGATGGGATTGTTAGAGAACTGACTTCACGCCTGAAGGAAGCATCCCGGGTGCTTGTCCCTGGCTGAGAAGAGCTCCATGGCAGTAAGTAAGCGTGTGTGCTTGCTGCTTGGAGCTGTGAAGAATGTGCGGTGGTAGCGTTGTGATTCGTGTCACATTGCTGTCCAGTACTGTCGCACAAGCAACCGTGCGGGCCAATGCCAATGAGCTGGTCATCACCAGCTGTGGCATTCTCAGCACTATACTCTGAAGAATAGCTATACGCTGCCCCTGCTCTTAGCACAGCTTGAGCTACATATCAAACCGACTGAGCACGTACCTGGACCCTGAACAGGGGTATACCACCTACCTACCCCTCCCTCCCCCCCCCCCCCACAAAATGGGCATCTTTGTACGGGGGAGGGGGCATTTGCTCTCTATGCTGTGTGCCAAGGACACAGTGACACTGCCGGCACTTCACCGGACTAGTGAATACGACCACCTGTGTATTTACTTTGGAAGGGCAATGCAGCCCCATCTGACAACGCCAATCGGCAACCGATTGAGTAATGAATGGTTCCAGCGTGACCTGGCCCGCTCACCTTAATAGCCAATGTTATTTGCCGCAGTGTCTCGGAATGAATTGTTCATCCTGCCATTCAGGTTGCACACGGCTATTGCTGCGGTCCTTAACCAGGCGCTGCTGTAGCCTATGAGCATGCCCACTGTCACATTACGTGGCACATGCTGCTAACTTTGCACAAAGTTAAGCCATTGCAATCCAGCTTGTAGTCTGGAGTTCGAATTCAGAAGTGGACTGTGTTTTAACTTTTAACATGCTAAGTCATCAGAGTGAATAACGTTAGCAAGAGAATAGAACGGTTGTCAGTTGACAACCCTCCTGTTTCCTTTCTCTGCTAGATCATGACACTGATATATTTGGTATCTGTAGTATGGCTAGTGTTGCTTGTTAGTTGTATTTTGATATCCAATATTATTGTACACTCGATGATTGCATATCACGCAGCTGAAACTATTTGATCAGTGACTGCCACTACTCAGCCTGGTCTACGCCGCACAGCTATTTGAACATGCACGCGTGCACAAACACACACACAAACACGTGCACACACACAAACACACACACGCATACACACACAAACACACACAACACACACACACACACACACACACACACACACACACACACCAGAGATCAGAGATCAAAACACTTAGCCGTTCTCCTGCGGGAATGCAGGCAATGCCATGGGTGGGCACATGTGTCTGCATTCCACGGCGTGCTTCTAAAAAAACAACTTGTACAATGCATTCGATAATCAGTGTCTTATGTAATGTGGCCATATGGGTGGAGACCGGACAGTGCGCACACACGGCATATAGAGATGATTTCGCTATGGGAATACAGATACTGTAGTGCTATAAATCTGAATAAGGTCGGCTTCACCTGGCAAGGACATGGAAATATACTGTAATTCCCCGAATGTAAGTCGCACCTTTTTATACCTAACTTCAGGGCCAACAAAGGGGGTGCGACTTACAATCCAGCATGACTTAGGTACTACTGAAGTGAATATATTGAAACGATGTGACATGGATCCGGAAATGGGAGTGCGACTTACAATTGAGTGCGACTTACAAACGGGGACATACGGTATGCAGGACAGTTGAGTTCGACCCGGGTTGCGATTTCAACCTGGATCAAACGCAACGGTCCTTGCAAATTCATTGTGCAATACATTGTTCATTGCCGTGGTTTGTGTTGGGGAACGTCTGTCTACTGCAGTGAAAGTTGAGACCATTGAGTATGATGTAGATCTACTAGTACTTCCTGATTGAAACCAACTAGTCTTGCCCAGTGCTGTGTGTAGACCTACATGCAGTACATGTACCAAGAGTATTGGGCTGTGTTTACATGACTGTGAGAATTTTCAACCCGGGGTGGCCGTGGGGCCGGAGAGTACATAACCCCCGGGATTGCCCGCGCTGCTCGGATCGGAACCGTCAACGGCCACATTCTCCTACGATAATGAACTCTTGATATAATTGTAGGAGAATGTTTATGAACTCTTGATTATATCCTGATCAAGGAACCCTCGAGCCTCCCCCCCCCCCCCCCCCTGGCCCTACAACTACCGTCCGTAGTACAAGAATATTTACGGGCGATACATGTGTGTACACATAACAGCAGTGCGTAGATCTACGTCGTTGTGCGTAGATCTACGGTACGGGATGATGAGGAAATCAAATCATTGCATATGCATATATTGTCAAGCATGACATCATGCATGATTGATGTTTTTGACTTTTTGAATGTGAATTTTCAGGAAAGGTCTGTAGATTGTGGCTTCGCAAGGCTATTGTAGTTTTCCATAGAAGTCGTGTGGGTTTGAGTATCTGGCTGGCAGTGGCTTCATCATCATCATCATCGAATAATCCTCTCCGCCCTCCTCAGTGTTATCTTGGCGACAGCGACAATATAGCTTGCTTGCCGAACGGCTTGGCAAGGGCCCCACGTAGACTCTACGTGGTGGCAGCTCCACAGCAGGTCACAGCATCGGTAATGTACTGAAAGTCACAACGAGCAAGTCGCTAGGAGTAGGAGTTAGCACTGCAAACTTCATCGGTCGCGTGCTGCAGCTGGCTATGTCTGCCAGCCAGCTAAAAGCTCAGGGGAACAAATTGTTCTCTGCAGGCCAGTATGGCCAGGCAGTGGAGTGCTATAGCAAAGCTATGGTATGGCATTGTGTGTGTGAGCGACTGTTATGTTTACATTGTACTGGCTCAGAGGTCAGAACGAATTTCTTGACCTGGCCAAGTTATGCAGTCTGTGTGTGTGTGTGTGTGTGTGTGTGTGTGTGTGCGTGTGTGTGTGTGCGTGTGTGTGTGTGTGTGTGTGTGTGTGTGTGTGTGTGTGCGTGTGCGCGTGTGTGTGTGTGCGCGCGTGTGCGCGTGTGTGTGTGCGTGTGTGTGTGTGTGTGTGTGTGTGAATGGTGCAATCCCAGCACAAGTTACTATGGCTTCTGCCGTAGCATTGCTATCATCGCCTCCGGCGATGGGCGTCAAAAGGTGTGTGTGCGTGTGTGTATGTATGTGTGCATACCGGTATGTGTGTTGTGCATGTGTGCACATCATGTTTGTGCATGTATGTATGTTTGTGCACGTGTGGGCGTGCGTAGTTGTCATCTGTGTGTGTGTGTGTGTGTGTGTGTGTGTGTGTGTGTTGGGGGGTGGGTGGGGTGGGGGTGCGTGTGTATATGTTTGTTCATGTGTGTATGTGTGTTTTGCTGTCCAATGTCCGTCAGTAGATAGTGTGTCAATGTGTGTAGGGTGAAACAGTTTGTAAGGTGCATGTACCCTACATCCGAGGTCACATGACTAGAAAATAATATACACGGTTCACTGACAAAGAATACAGTACTGGCGGGTGGCAAAGAGTGATGCGCCGAAGAGCGAGCAGGCTAGAACTTAACCAGGCACATGATACTAGTACCCGTATGTACATGGTGGCTCAGCTACATGTATAGTATAGAGATTTCAGGCTTCAGTTTCGAGAGAGAGAGAGAACGGCCTAGGCCACTACTCTGAACCCCTGGTTCTTCGGCACCGGACAGTTTTGTACGCAGGGTCTTCTAATCTCTTAGGCTGCGTGTAACTAGTGTGTACTGTAATTTCACAAATTTTCGGTGTACTTTTATTTTCGGTACTTTCGGTGCACCTGTTTCATACCTAAAATTTCAACACACCGAACAAACGCTATCACACATAATCCAATAGGGAACTGCTTCTCTGTACCGAAAATTTCTGTTCACCTAACCCTGGCCTTTTGCCCTCATACCGAAAATATTGACCACCGAAAATTTCTGAAATTAGAGTATTTAAAATACCTGTATACAAAAGTTGAACTCTGATACTGAGCCTGTAATAAATGTAATAATAAAAAGAGAAGAAAACACATGAGAACGAGTTGCAGGCGTGGACAGTTGCTGCATAACTCGTTCTCATGTGTGTGTGTGTTTTTTTTACCGGTGTGCTATTACAAACTTTCTCAATCTCCATTACGTCCACCTGCACCTTACTAGTACAGGTAGCTAGTCTGAGCACTCGCTCACTCACGTATGGTCTCTTTGCTGGGAAAATGCTCTCTTAAAATTGAATCAATGCAATGAATAGAGAGTTGCGCACTCAGTACAAACACCATAAGTAAAACTACATGTCATGTATATTCCTTTCGTATCTCCACGGAAACTTTTTAAAATTAAATCACCGAATTTGTGGGCATGGCCCATCCTCAGCTTGAAACAATAGTTGCTAAGTGAAGTATACATTAGGCACACTTCGTATCCGATACAAAGAGAAGAGGATTACATGGACTCTATAAGCAGAAAATTTCGTCGGTCAATAATTTCGTCCAACTCCAAAGAAAGAGAGTTCGTCCGGTTGTAAATTTCGTCCATGGATCATAAGAGTGTATTGAAAAGCTGGACAAATCAATATTAGTCCGGCATTTAATTTAGTCCAGCAGCTTGTTGGATGAAAAAGACGAAATTAAATTCCAGACGAATATTTCTGCTTGTACAGTACATGTATATCCATAGTTCAGTACATGTATGTTATACATGTACTGAACTTTTCGCTGTGGTCTATTTGTTGCTACTGCTGCAGCTGAAAGATCCCGGTGACTCCAAGTTCTATGGGAACCGTGCGCTGTGCTACAATCGAATGACCAAGTACAGCGAATCCCTAACCGACTGCCAGAAGGCCATTGAGCTAAACCAGCGCTATGCAAAGGCATTCTATTTCCAGGGAGAGGCGCTTCTGGGCTTGGAGAAGTATGATGAGGCGATAAGCTCTTTGACGAAATGTAAGATTGTGCTTTTTTTTATCTTGGTGCAGTAGAACTCCCCCCCCCCCCCCCCCCCCCCGTACCCGGGTATGTGGGGATCGGGCACTGCCTGTAACCAGCAAGCGCCCTCTTGTTCACTGCGCCATGATATGTCTACAGTTAGCAAGAAGACATTTATTATAAACAAATCTGAAGAGAAGGAAAACACAGCTGAAGAGGCAAAACACATGAAGCACGGAAATATCTCCCAAGCAAGCATGCCGTTATGGTGTGAGGTCATACAACTGTGGTACAAATCTAGTACGGGAGTACATGAACTACAGGTCAAATATGGCATGGGGGAATCCATATACATCACTCGGCGCATACAACATACTGATTGCATGGAAGTGAACATTTTTTTAATGCATATCAGGCCCGTCGCACTGACTGTGGAGGTGGGGCGGCCATGGAAGGGGGTCCGGGGGTCCTCCCCCGGGAAAAAATGTCAAAAATTGAAGCCAATTGCAAGCATTTCCAGGCATTTGGTGCCATTTCAGTGTGACTGCAATGAAAGACTGTTTTGTTTCTGCAAAAAAACCGCGATCGGGGACAAGGATTTGCCACGTTTGCGCTGAGCTGCGATCATCGATCTTTGTTGCAGTGTGCTCCAAAAAAAACGGCCGAAAAAGTGGGGCGGCCTCAGCCGCCCCAGCCGCCCCGGCTGTGACGGCCTTGCATATCAATATTTTTGGTGCCATTTTGTTGTTGTTGAAAAGCCATTTTTGTGACACGAGAAGGGTCAGGAAGATGCCTGGTAGACGAGAGTGCCCGGACCTGGGGAGTCCCAATTAGGGGAGTTTTACTATAGTTGTAGTTTAGAACTATGTGCGATATTATGCATGCTCTATGCGTGTGTGTGTGTGCGTGCGTTTGTGTGTGTCTGTGTCCGGTACCGTATCCCGGAATTCCAGATGACGACGTAGAATTAGGCTTCGGAGGCATCCAATGCATTGTCAGGGCAAGAACGGCAGACTTTGTTTTGCATACGTTTACTGGGGAATGGTTTTTGTTCTTCGGACGAAACCATTCGACTCAGTTCAGGGAACTACATTGTACGCGTTCTGATACATATATGCATGGGTACACTACAACTACTGGACACACTGTATTTTTGTGTTGTTGTGTTGCATCGGTATTGGACACACTGCGTTTGCAGCTCTTCAATTAGCCACTGAACAGCACTTATTCTTCGGCGATGAAATATCAACGAAGATCAAACTGGCCAAGAGTCTAGTGAGTATGGCATGTGTGAGCATGGTGTTTGCTGTCGATTCCCTGTTCTCTTCTAGCTTTACATGTATGTATGTATGTATGTATGCAAAGCACCACTGTGCATGGATAAAGGGAAGGACAAAATGTTACGGGTTGTGACAAACTGTCCACCAACGTATCCAGATCATTATACAGTCAGCGAGTGCGACAAAAAGGCACAAACTTTTTCTGTCCTTCCTTTTATCCATGATTACTTTGTGTCAACATCCGAGTTCAGATTTGCACCACCGTGCATGTGCTTTTCTTCTTCTCTGAACCGGCGTAGGAGCATGTACTCCAGTACGCTTGCATGTTGTCCTGTGTGTGCGTTCCCCTATGCGAGGGTGAACATGCCAATGCGAGTATAGTACACTGTATAGTGTCCCGCTGTGCATGTTTTCTCTCCGAGCCGGTGTAGAAGTACTCAAGTACGAGTAGAGTATGCGTGCGTGTAGTCCTGTGTGTGCCTCTCCCCTCCCCCCCCCCCCCCCCCCCCCTCTATGCGAAGGTGCATGTAGTGTCTGTGACTGCTGGCTGCTGGCTAGCATGGAACTCGGGTGGGGGAACATTCTTATCTGGGAGAGATCACTGACAGTGATTTTCCTACTGCTGATGGTTTGTATCCGTGCAGAGGTGGCAGCGGAAAGAGCAGCATCGCGAGAAAGAAGAGATCGAGCTTCAGACTTTCCTCAACGGCCTGATTGACGAGAAGAAGAAAAGGTCAGTAGTCTCAGTACGCCTCTGTGTGTGTGTGTGTGTGTGTGTGTGTGTGTCAGTTTTACGTACCTTGGCAGCGTCATCCATCGGGACGGGCAGTCTTCGCATGATGTGCAGTCCCGTCTCGCCAAGGCTTCGCGTGTGTTCGGCAGTCTCCGTGTCCCAGTGTTTGAGAATCGGTCGTTATCTCTCCGCTGTCGGCGCCGCGTGTACATCGCCCTTGTGCTGACGACCCTCCTGTACGGAGCAGAGACGTGGACGCCGAAGGCACCGGACCTGCGCTCTCTCAACACCTTTCATCACCAGTGTGTTCGCATCATCGTTGGCGTATCCAGGCGGGACCAGTGGGACAACCGCGTCACCTCGGTTACCATGGCCCGAACCCTCGGCATTGACTGTGACGTCGCGGACATCATCCGGGAATATCGACTGCGTTGGCTTGGCCATGTTGGCCGGATGAACGACGACCGCATGCCGAAGCGAGTTTTGTTTGGGGAGCTCCCTGCAACACGCCCTCGCCATGGTCCACGCAAGCGGTGGCGTGACGTCATCGTGGATGATCTCCGCTCCATCAGCCCCCCTGTGCCTTCTGACTGCTGGTTTGATGCTGCCCAGGATCGCTCTGTCTGGAGGCAGATCGCTCATCGTCGTCCTCCCGCCCGTGCTCCTCCTGATCCTGACTCTGGCTTCCGCTGCGCATGTGGAAAGGTCTGCCGTCGTCCCGGGGACCTCAAGCGCCACGCTCCGTACTGCAAAGCTAGCGGATAGTCCCTTCGCTATCATTGCCATCGGCAATGGGCACGTTCAAGGTTCAAGGTGTGTGTGTGCGCGTGTGTGTGTGCGTGTGTGTGTGCCTATGTGCCATGCATGTGACATGGAGGGCTGGTCAACTGTTCACTTGCTGTCTTGGTTGCATATGAGTATATTAGCACTACTCTGACTGGGACGCCATGATGTATGCAAATCATTGCCAGCCTTCGTCCTGCATGTATCATGGTGGCGGTTATGCGTCATTTTCTATCTCCTATTGCATCCACAATATTGCTTGTTCATGTTGTGTTCCTTGCTTGCCTAGTATTCTGGATGCCCCTCTCAGCCGGCCGGCGGACGAATTCGATGCAGAAATGGTAGGTTGGAGGCTCGGAGCACTTTAACTGGAGCTACAGTCTCTGTGCAAATGTAATGTACATGTTGACAGATTTGTGCAGAAACTGTAGCAGCTACGTGTCACGTGGCTGCTTTTTCCATTTAACGTACCTGAGTGGTGCTGAATACTTTCCGCAAGTTTCCGGAGATTCCGATATCACCGGCACATCAACAGCTTGACACATCCAATAAACCTTTGCTTGAGGCTTCTCCACACGTGTGTGATACGAACACTAGTCCGCCTAACTTTACTTGTATGTATCTCTTACTTGTCTGTGCACTCTTGTGCTGGTGTTTTAGAAAGATCATGGCTAAAGAATAATGTCGTCCCTGAACGCACAAATTCCATTCACAGGGCGCGCTTGGGTGTACTTTTGGGAGGGGAGGTGCCTACACGAACTGCAAGCTGTACATTTAAAAGTAATAACATGAAGTGTTTGCGAGGATCTCTTATCTCCTATGCTTTCTTGTCCCTTCTGTAAAGGACTGTCGGAAGAGGCAGGTTGCGGACCTGTTTGCAATGGTGGATGAGAGAAGATCAGTAAGTTGCATGTAACACTAGCACTTGGCTAGTTTGTGGTGTGTTGACATGACTATTGTTGTGAATACACTGACATCTCTCTTTTTGTCTTTTTACTGTAGGAATGGTTATGGTGATCCAGCTCATGGTCCATTATGCATGTTGTTGTATACTTTATTTTATAGTGGAAATCAAAACATGCGTGATGCCTAATAACAATGGACCCACAATGTGTATGTGTAGCGTGGGTGTAGCTGGCTGATTGGCTGGGCATGTATCCGTGTGTGCATTGTGTATTTGTGTTTGTGTTTGCTGATCGTGTGCCTGTGTGTGTGTGTGTGTATGTGTGTGGGTGTGTTCTTTCTGTGCACGCAGAAGAGAGAGGTGCCTGACAACCTGTGCTGTCAGATTAGCTATGAGGTGATGCGGGATCCTGTCATAACACCGTCTGGCGTGTCGTATCCTCCAGCATACTCCTTCCACTCAGTACATTGCAGTGGTAACTTTGTACCGTACTACCGTAAAAGTCCGTAAATAAATACCTGCCCGAAAGAAATACCCCCTTCATTCTTTTGGCTCTGTCTGTTGAAGTCAAGTCAAGCCCGATAAACATACTGCCCGAAATAAGTACCGGTACGATGCGCACATGCAGCACGTAGCATGTACATCAACATGAAAATGACTTCTCCACTACACCCAAGTCAGGTCCGAAAGTTAGTTCGTGCCCGAAAGTCAGTACCCGCCCGAAAGTTAGTACGGGTGTGGTCACTAAATTCGAAAGTAAATACGTACTTATTTACGGACTTTTACGGTAACTTGTAGCGTGTACATGTATGTATTATTGCTTGCATTATCGCCTTTCAAAGCTAGATAAACTAATAGCAAGAGTACATGAAAACCAGAGTGTGCAGCTCGGATGGGTTGCTGTCACGGCGAAATTCCGTGATTACATCATTTTAGTGATGTAGTGCGTACAAGCAGGATGCAAGCAGGTCTCTTTCTGCACAACTGCAGCTCAGTTGTACGCACTACGCCATTTCCCGCCTCAGATCTGCACCAAAATGATGTAATCACGGAATTTCGCCGTGACAGACACCCATAGCAGAGAAGGCCCCAAGCTGCACACTCTGGTTTTCATGTACTCTTGCTAATAGGGTTGCCAAGTGCAATGCTACAGCTCTTGGCAGTAGAACTGGCAACTGCCACGTTTTCGGCGGCCTTCTCAGTTACAGAGCTTAGATCTCAATTGAACCTTTCCATCGATGCATTGTTTGTTAAATTCCCTTTCTGGTTGACAGAGGTCTAGCAGTTTGGCACTCTTCTTTGTAGTGCTGCCTAAGATTGAGTAGGGGTATGGCCATACCCAGTCAGTAATCAAGTATGTTGCTCTCCTTTCTCTTAGTAAGGAGCCCTCTTTCAGTGCCTAGACTAGAGACAGTGCCAGCAAACCCAGCTATACTTTTAAAAGACGAAGTTTGCATTGCTATTCATGTGTGAGTGTATTCCTTGACGAGGCTTGATTGACAGGTATGACCGCAGTTCAATACAAGAACATCTTGAGGTAAGGACAGGGTCATTGTTGCGTGCACTTGTCTGCACAAGCTGGGGGGGGGGGGGGGGGGGGGCTGGTTTTTGTGGCAATATGAGAAGAAAAAAAGAGCCGGAACAGTGGGAAACATTGATGCCACTTGATGGAATGAATGCTCAATCTAGACCTAGACGCCATCCAAGCGAAAACCACGCCGGATCCTATCAATTTCGATGTTGCAAAGACTGCAAGGCCATTGGACATGTTGCAAAGACTGCAAGGCCATTGGACATGTTGCAAAGACTGCAAGGCCATTGGACATGTTGCAAAGACTGCAAGGCCATTGGACATGTTGCAAAGACTGCAAGGCCATTGGACATGTTGCAAAGACTGCAAGGCCATTGGACATGTTGCAAAGACTGCAAGGCCATTGGACATGTTGCAAAGACTGCAAGGCCATTGGACATGTTGCAAAGACTGCAAGGCCATTGGACATGTTGCAAAGACTGCAAGGCCATTGGACATGTTGCAAAGACTGCAAGGCCATTGGACATGTTGCAAAGACTGCAAGGCCATTGGACATGTTGCAAAGACTGCAAGGCCATTGGACATGTTGCAAAGACTGCAAGGCCATTGGACATGTTGCAAAGACTGCAAGGCCATTGGACATGTTGCAAAGACTGCAAGGCCATTGGACATGTTGCAAAGACTGCAAGGCCATTGGACATGTTGCAATGACTGCAAGGCCATTGGACATGTACAATTTGTCATTTTTAAAATAGCGGCAACTTGTTTATAAAAGTTTCGGACCTTACGTCGTTTTGGTTAGAGATCCCTTGATCAGATGATTAGCAATCTTTCAACAGATAATACAAGGCAATAGCTCTAATCAATGGTTAATTTTGTACGAACTTTCAATAATTCTTTTCATCCATCGAAATTGACAAAGGTTTGTAGTTGCCCAGTATTGATGAGGGCCCTGCCCATCTGGATTTCTGATGTGAACCGGGAGATACGTTTTGACTCAACATCCGGGAATCTAGCAGCTTCAACCTCGTTGGGTCTCACCAGCGGACCTTCATTGAGCAGCATTGTAATAGATAATGCTGGGGGTCTACATGTACATGACAAGACAGAACTCTACTGGAGTACAAATGTGAATGGCAGCATGCTGGTGAAGTCCGCCATTGTGGTGTCTGTGCAGCTTTATCCAACATTAGTAACTGTTGGTGTGCCTCGCACGTCCGCACATCCGAATCTGACATTTTGTCTTGTGTCTGTCAACGTCATGAAATGCGCGCACATGCTGATCTTCTTCTTGTCTGTCTGGACCGTTGCAGCGTGTCGGCCATTTCGACCCTCTAACGAGAGCACCGCTGACCCACAATGATCTCATACCAAACCTGGCCTTGAAGGAGGTAATTGAAGACTTCCTGGCGAAGAATGAGTGGGCGGATGATTACTAACTGCACGCGGATAGACCCCCTGCTTGCTGTCTACTGCCCGGTACACTGCTGTGACATCAGGTAGAGCTGGTGGCCGCCTTGAGCCAGGTGTAGTTTGACCGTTGAAGTTCGTACCATCGTGGGCGAACGCATGTGTACATTCAGTGTACATTTATATAGCTTTGCACATTCTGCCATTCTGGACAGTTTTATTCCGCTGATTAATTTCAAAATCCTCAAGCACTGTTAACGAAATGACTGCACAAGTACGAACATACGGATCTAGTGTTGCCTGTGCTTGTTGGACATGTAGATATTATTGGCCATAACCTGGTGTCTATGGTTAAGCCGTGCTGCTGCTGCCGCCTGTGTGTACAAGTATTATTTATTTCCCTTACTCCAGTCGTGGGATGACTGCTGTCTGCTGTGGCCACATGGTGTGTGTGCTGTCCTGCTTCACGCGTGCACTGCTGTCTGCTGTTGTGTTCTTCTTCTTTTTTTATGTTGTGACCTGGCAGACTGCATCTGTAGTATGTTGTAATTGCCCGACCTTGAGACCTTGTTTGTGTTATTGTCCTACCGGCCTTGTTTAACCATCATCACTCCATCTTTTTTAACGCTCAATATCTTATGTTGCTTTCTCTGTCACTCGAGTTGTGTTGGTTGGATCTCCTCGGTTTCCACAAGCAACTTCCGGCTGTTCCCTTGTTGAGTGCCTTCCTCTAGCACAATTGCGATTCATTGCACTGCATTCGACAAAGCGAATGTGAACGGGAAGGTCATGGACATGGTGTTAGGTACGGAGTACTAGTATCTGGGGTTCCTTTTATTCAACTGTATGCGACTCCTCAATGCCAGCCTCTTCATGCACCCATACACGCACGCGCACACACGCACATGCTCATGATCCCTGACAGCAACACCCTGGCGAGGCTGAAGCAGAGTATGATCGGTGACCACTATCAAATTAGCATACTGTGGTGGAAGCAGTAATACGATTTGTTAGATCTATAAAAACATGAAAATCTTTAAAAAAAACTACAACTCTAAAGTATGTACAAAGCAAAGAAGTGTGTACAAGCACCCAGTTAGCATTGCATGCTGCATGGACTATTGAGTGTTTTCAATGACTTGAGCATGCGCTGTTGTGAGGGTGGATGGTGCTATAGCATCTGGCCTGAGCTGGGGCAGAATACATGCCCGGTGAAGAGGACCTGAACTGGAAGACTGCAACCGGAATAAGTTGTCTACATGTAGGGTACAGCATGCGACTAACTTCCCGCGCAGTGACTGTCGAGGAAACCCTAGCTGTGCTCTGAATTGGGCCGGCATCCCAGCTAGGAGCACATTCACATAACAGCACTGCTGTTTGACACATAACGTTATTCCACCATGTGACACTCAGGTGACAATGTAGGAATGCAGACTGTCGTGCGTCTATTCGTCATCAGAGTCGGAATCCACGCGTCGGCGAGCGAACTACACAGATTGAGAAAAGCAAGAAACAAACACGAGCACGTGCGGACACAGGTGTTTGAATGAACACGTGCACACACACACACACACACACAGACACACACACACACACACACACACACACACAACATGACAGAACATAGTGCCGACGAACGTCATGCTGCGGGCAAATTCCCCCCGCAATGCTACCCAGGGAAAACGAGACCAACCAGCAACACTGGCATAACAATGTCACAGCAGCAACAGCAGCAACACTGTCACAGCTATGCATACTATATTGCCAAGAACGTGACTTCTATTTGAAGTAGAAATCTACACCATGACATAGTGACATTATTGTAGTACTGTACCTTGACAGTGGTCTTTTTCTGAGTTGATTGTGAGATCTGCTCAAGCATCTGAACAAGACGCTCTTCATTGATCTGAGCAGTCCAAGAAGCACAACACAAACAGGAACACAACATGACAGTGCTTACACACATCACGTGGTCTGTTGGGCTAATACTAGTACACTGCGGCAACTCTAACCGACACGGCATGATCCCTGAAGCTACAACGACAAGATATGCCAGCGTGGGCAATTGAGTATTCAATTCATTCAATATACTTGTCACGGTACTGGATATTCCATGGCCTTTGTGATCACATTCCAAACCAGCTTACATGCCTGTCACTGTTCAACTTCACTTTAAAAATGCACACAAGTTTCAAAGCAAGCCAGTTTAAACACTAAAGGGAAGAATATTTGCTAGCACGGATACTAAAAAAAGAAGAAGACGATGCACCATGTCTGAGTATCCCCACTCACGCCAACACACCTGCTTTTGTTAGTCTTAGAGACCCCAAGGATGGCACTGCATGCATGTGTATTGTGGCAAGGTTGAATATGGTCATGCACACACATCTGCAACCGTACTAGAGACAGCCCAGAAGAACAGGGCATGTACGCGGCATCTGATTTTGGGCGAAAGCTCTTTGGCAGCACTTCTACTGAGTCAAAAGCGTGAGATATACTCAGTACTGTATTCAGCGCGTACAGGTGGTACGTTCGTAGTCAAGCAGCATTTAACGCTGGGCAAATAATACAAAGTACTTGTAACTGTGGCATCCGAGGCATACCTTCTGTACGATCTGGCCTTGGCGAGCCATCTGTATTAACATATTCTCGATCTGACTGGCTCTCTCCGGTTTCACGAGGGCGATACTGTGCACTGCATGCATACATACAGACAGACAGACAACCAACCGGTCAACACACAGTCTTCATACAGAGAGCCATGTGCGTGTGGTGAACATAAAATGAACAGTTTAAACAACAGGAGGAGAGGCATTTCAACCATTGCAACTTAGCAACAGCCAGGAGAACATTGCACTTCTAAAGTACATGTAGTGTGTGACAGTCCAATTTAGAGAAGTGGCCAAGCCAGAATTGCCACACATACACGCAGTGGAAATTCTGCTAAGCCTTTTTGTGGGAGTACATATCAGTACGATCTTTGCACTGTTCAACAGATAATTTACAACTACCGTAGAGTCTTGTATGAACGCCTGTCTCATATAGAAGCCTGATTTTCAAGATACACTGTCGGCACATAAGCCTGGTTTTAGTGTTGACACACACAGAAATACCTGTCTCATATAGAAGCCTGCAAAATTTCCCCCAAAAAGTCATATATGAGTAAGCCGTGGCTTTAATACACGACTTTACGAAGCACATACATGTATCTCCAACAATAGGAGTCAGTGGGTTGTAATTCATTACTAGAACATATAAACACGCAGAAAGGGTCGTTGACTACTAACATCGAGTCCGGGCTTGCTTTTCAAGAATTTGTGAGAGCATAGAGTTCTTGGCCTCCTTCTGCCTGTAAATCACCAAAACAAAGAAAGAGAAAAAGGTGAGTGTGTGAGTGTGTGTGGGAGAGAGAGAGAGAGAGCTGGCGAGGCGTAAAGCGCACAGCCCCGAAGCGAGAAACCTACAAGAGAAAGCGTGTGTACGCCTATGCACGTATTGAAGATACAACTTCAATCTGGAGTCGCCAAGGTAGGTGATTGGCACTAATTCGGTGACAATGTGGTTGCGTTATTCACACGGCAGTCTTGGTCACCGGGCACAACACGTGTCGTGTGAATTGTCGTTTAAGCCATCGCTATACCCTCAATTGAATGTACATTGTATGTAGGTAGAGGGACATTTGCCCTTGCCACCAAAAAACGTCGTTTTTTCGTGATTTGTCATTATAACCAAGGGCATGTTCGATCGGTTGGATCCGGATTCGTTGAAACGAACGTGCACATATCGAGTGGATCCGATTGATCTGGATCCAGGTCCAACCAATCGAACATGCCCCAAGATTGTTATTGGCGAGGTTGACTTTAGATGCAGCCATGACTGGACTCTGTGCACAACACACAACACACGTATAGCCTGCACATGACATTGGCCGTGTATCGGCTGCGTTACCTTTGTACAGCTTCCTCCTGCGCTTCTTGCTGCTGAGGACCTCCCTGTTCATTGCAAATAAGGACAAACCATGCATACACTGTTTAAAAACTACAATTTACCAAGGCAATATGTGTGTGAGTGTATTGGTGTGTGTGTGTGTGTGTGTGTGTGTGTGTGTGTGTGTGTGTGTGTGTGTGTGTGTGTGTGTGTGTGTGCATGGTACATGCTGTGTGTGCCGTCTTACTGTCGCCAATTCCGTCAATCCCAAGACTGGAATAGGCACAAGTGCTAGCCAGCCCTTTGCTGTTCCCTCTCTCAAGTTGAAAAAAGGGGGTCCGCGAGGCCTACACCAAGGCAGTGCGCATCAAAGTCAAGGTGTGTGTGTGTGTGTGTGTGTGTGTGTGTGTGTGTGTGTGTGTGTGCGTGCGTATGTGTGTGTGTGTACGTGCGGACTCTGTCGATACTGCACCTCGCCTAGTGCTTCAACACCAACATTGTTGCTCATTCCACTGTCCATCATGTGACCGGTGCTTTCGATCTACTGGTGGATTTAAACGGCACAATTGCGAGTGTGGCAAGCGACCAACAGCGAGGGAGCGTCTCGAGTTAAAGTTCTGCTGTGCTTGCGGCGAGAGATATCGCAGGCAACAGGATCTGCATTGGCATGAGGCCGGGTGTTCTGCCGCGACGCCGTGATGCTACCTCTTTGTTTCCCTCCTCATGAGGGCAGCTTAGCCGTTTAACGGCAGCTGTATGTCAAGGTCAAGGTCAAGGTGTGTGTGTATGTGTGTGTGTGTGTGTGTGTGTGTGTGTGTAAATTTTCGCGGAGAGGAAGCAGATTTGTTAGCTCCTGGTTTTCTCTTTGTTGGCCTCCTCCACGGGGCGGCCTTGGCCTTCTGGTCAGGGTCGTCCCTGGGTATTGAGTGGCAGTAGGCTTTTCATGCCTTGCAGCCGGTTTCGCTCGCGCGGAAGGACATTCAGTGAGCTGACGACCAGGGCGGGTAATTATTTGTTGCCGTCACCGTCTTCTTGCGTCCTTTCCGCATCCTCCGCAGTGGCGTGGCGAGCCCTCGGATCGATCCCCAGCCTGAAACAATGCAGTGGCGTTCGGAAAAGCAAGTGGATTCCTGAAGGAACAGGTCACACTCGCAGCAATTTATTCCTGCGCGGTGTATCGCTGGAATTGTGGATTTGTCGTGTTGTTTGGACCTGAGTGGCCAGTCATCGTGCGGCGATGGTGTAGTGATGTTAGCTTGCTGTGCACACTCCTCGTCGTTTCGTGAAAGTTCGTCTTGTGGAGCCCTTGTGGGACGTTCGGTGCCCACCCTCCAGTTCAAGATTGTGCTTTCCTGGTTTATGAAGGCCGAAGCAGTATGCGTACAGATGTTGAACAGAACATCATGTTCCTTTTTCAGTCGTTGCATTTAATACTTATAGTGGACCTACAGCAGACTGTTCATCTGGTTTGTGATATTTCTTTCCTCTGTTTGTGAGTCCTTTTCCATCAATATGGCAGCTTGTTTTGATTTCCTTTTTTTTCAATTCATTTTGCTGTACTTCCTGTTTTGTTTTGCGCCACTGCCCCTCACCTTGCGCTCAGTTCTCTGAGTGGAGGGCGGCGTGACCCCACGGGGTAGCTGATTGATAGTAGTAGTAGTAGTAGTAGTAGTAGTAGTAGTAGTAGTAGTAGTAGTAGTAGTAGTAGTAGTAGTAGTAGTAGTAGTAGTAGTAGTAGTAGTGTGTGTGTGTGTGTGTGTGTGTGTGTGAGTGTGAGTGTGTGTGTGTGCACATCCAGTGGATTTGCAGATTTGCGTGCTTCTCTTGCGACGGGCGTATACATGGTACATGGTGTGTGTGTGTGTGCAGGTGCATGGTGTGTGCGTGTGTAAAAAGAGAGGGGGTAGCTTGCAAACGCCGAGGAAAGTCATTTCAGTTAACACGTATCACAAGCTGTGACAGTGTTTGGAGTACTAGTACATGCACCAAGGGGCCTGAGGTAAATAGTACAGCAGAACAGGGATTGGATGATGTGGATGACAAGTCGGAGCAAGGACACGATCGCCTTCTTAGCTTCGTATAGACGAGGAGCCTACTGAAATTCCATGCACATACTACAAGTCAGATACATACCACGCTCGTTAGCGTAGCACACGAGTATGGTACCTTACTTACTTGTTGGCCCTGCTGGGCTTGCAGCTCTGCCATGCGCTTCGCCCGAATAGCTTCCAAATCAGCATCCGCCATTGTGGAGCAGGTTCTTCAGAAAACAAATCTACAACTACAAGGAACTATTATATTTATAGATGGCACAGTTTGATTGTTTTCCTTTTCTCTACTGCTAGCTGTCACTGCTACATGTACATAATGTACTTGCACATTTGAAAAAAAAAATTAGTTTGTAGATTTCACAAATTTTCGATGAACATCAGTGACTCCTGATAATACGAACACCCCGACTCTATCCCGCGATATCGGATATGACGGATCCCCAGGGCCGGGGCTAGGCGAGTCGTAGATCTACGACTTTACGAGTACGAGATAAAAGACTCTGAGTCAGTACTACGACAGTAGCTAAGCGTCGCTAGATCGCTTGACCCGTGGTCTGTAGTTTGCAGCTAGCTGTGCGGTGAGAGTCGCCGTCGGGGACAGCGTTTTCACGCGGCTTCATTTCTTTGGACCATGGATGGGTGTTCTCCCCGTTTTGATTGAACAGCACTCGTATCCTTCCATATCCTGGGAGGCCGGAGGAAGAAAGTTCCAGATTTCATAAAGTGCAGACGTGCTTGTCTGTAGTTTGAAGTCACTGCTTTCAGAATGATTCCGGACGGAAGAGGAAGGTACCACAATACCGATGGTGGAGCTGGGGGTAAGCTAACCGTACCATGCAGCTCTCTGTAGCAAAATAAAATGTGAGACCGGTTTCGACCTCAAAATATGTAATTTTTGTTTAGAATTTTCTACGTACAGTTAGGTTACTGTATAGCTAGGAGCATAGTCTTACAGAACAGGCTCAACGATGTAGGTATGGTGAAGACTTTTTACCAGATCGGTGACAGTATTCATGATGATCTCAGACTCGATGGGATAAACCAAGTTTCTGAACTTCGTTTCGAAGAGGAAGGTATTATAGTGGTGTCGAAACTTCATTATAACCACTGATTCCCGCCACAGGTTAGGAACTACCTGTGCACTAGTGCTCACATGATATGCACGTCTGTTTGTGTGTGTGCGTGCGTCTGTGTGTGTGTGTGTGTGTGTGTGTGTGTGTGTGTGTGTGTGTGTGTGTGTGTGTGTGTGTGTGTGTGTGTGCATGTGTGTGCATGTGTATGTGTGTGTGGACACTAAATCAGGAGCCCAAGACACTGGGGTGTATTCCCGCCTCATGAGTGTGTCCATCATGTTCATGTCTTACTTTATGGTGCTCTGCACATTCCCAGTATCCTTGCTCTTCATCCTAAAGGTGAGTATTGACTGCTCTTGTGTGCGCGCGCGCGCGCGTGTGTGTACAGTCGGTGTGTGTGTGTGCACTGTGTGTGTGTGTGTATGTGTGTGTGTACAGTCGTTGTATGTGTGTGTGGGGCGGGGTCTGTGTTTGTGTACGCCGACCTGTCGGAAGGCCTTAGAAGTTGGACTACAGTCAACTTTGCGTATAACGACACTTGGCGGGGCATCAGAAAAGTGTCGTTATACCCGAAGTCTCAATAATTATATGTATACAGGTAGAATGGACTTTGCTCTGGGCATGGAAACTCTGTCGTTATTCGCGAATTGTCGTTATATCCGCAGTCGTTATTAGCGAAGTTGACTGTACATATAATTTCGGCTTGACAATGCAGTGTGTTGAGGTACAGTCGACTCCTGATGTAACAAACACCAATGTACAGGAGAATTAGTTCTATTCGCCAAAGTAGTTCTTTATAACAGAACTGCACTCACACCAGTACAAACAATGCCATCATCATGCCTGGCATACAGCCAGTGACTGGATGAGTGCACTTGGTTGCACATTCTCCCCCACAAGATATGGTTCGTTACACACAGAAACCGCTCACTACATCGGGTCAATTTTGTGTGGGTTCGAACAGGGGCATGGACAATTGTTCGCCATATCACAATTCACTTCATGCTACAGTCCATCCATAAAAAGATGATATCGTAGCTTTTGGCCATAAATGGGTCAAATTTTGAGTTTTTCACAATTGTTTTGGCAATCCCCTATGGAATCCTCTTCCCATTATGATTCTGAAGTCTATTTCTCCAAAAAGCAAGCCATAAGAAGAATAGGATATCGGCCAGGTTGTGCTCTCAAAGCACTGAATTGGGGATCCAGGCCGTTCAGACCACTTGCATAACAGTACATTGTGCGGTTCGAACGCCAGTCGAGGTACCTTTTTTGGACCCTTTTTCAAGCTTCAAGTCTCGCGGCACTGCACCGTGTACCACAAAATCACGAAAAATCGCCAAATACGGGAGCTCGCCAGAGCCAGCGCTCATCTTTTTTCTGAATGGGCTGTAGTTCGCTATAAGTGGAGTCGACTGTATGTTTGTTTATGGTTGGATTTCTTGGTATGACTGCCTTTGGCTCTTGGTCCCCGGCTGCCGGAGCTGGTTGGCAGAGCAACTCCGATTACACTTCAGAGTACCCAATGCATCCTGTATCTGCTCTTAGCAGCATACTGTATCTAGCCCGGTGCACCGCCCTATGTAGTATAGACTAGATGTGCATCGGTGGTCAATTGACACGGCTTCTTCGGGGTATGTGTCTTAGGCAGTTGGGCGCCAATTTTGTGGAAATCGTGACATCATATGCCAGATCTCTGGCCCTTCACCATTGAAACGTATGTGATTCAAGGTTCGGACCTTTTAAAGCTTGTGGGTAGTGCCCGGTCCCGGACCACCCGCCGATATAGGTACTAGTATAGAGAAGGGAGAATGAATCATTGTTGCTGTTATACTTGTATGTAGTCTGCACTGCTGGTTGTGTTATTGTGGTGAATGTTCTTCTCGTACTACCGTTTTATTTTATTTTTTGTTCTTGTTCTTGTTGAATGTTCCTGTTGCCATTGCACAGGTCGTGAATGAGTATGAGCGTGCCGTTATCTTCCGACTTGGTCGCTTGGTGTTTGACGAGCCACGAGGACCCGGTTAGTCAAAGGAAATTAATTTGTTTTACCTGTATCCTTCCGCACGTTCCATACGCGCACACTTTAAAGCTTGCAGAGTAGGACGCATCTCCCACCATGGGGTTATTAGAGGCCATTGTTGCTTGCCCCCAAGTCGTACATGCGCTCAACATCTGGACAGCTAGCTGTTTCGACCTTCTTAGGTCTCTTCAGCAGAGCTCAAAGTGACTGGCTGAACCGATCACAGGCAGAGAATTGTGACGCAAACCAGACAGAGTGCTCAGCCAAGATAAGGCAAGCGAGCGTAGTGCTGATCATGTTTCCTCACATATAAAACAATGGTGTTATAGGTGAGAAATCGCTGTTTTCGACCTAAATTTTTGAGAAGAAGTTGGTAGAGGTACGGGATTTCCAGCAAGATCAGGAAGTTACACACAACTCCATACAGAAGAGAAACATTTCACGTACATATCGTGAAAAACTCCGAAATCCGGTAGAACAGTGTTCGTGCACTTACCTCTACCATCTTCACCTCTATCGTATCGGTAGAGTGACTCTACTCTACCAGGTAGCTAAAAACGAACGCAGCCTAAAAGTGAGACAGAGAAATGCATATGCTAATGTATCAGCAGAACATGAACCACTGGTGCAGAACCAGTCACATTGTGCATGTACTTTTTTTTTTCTTGTGGTCATTTTATTCACAATACCGCCGCAAAATTACCGGTATAACGCCATGGCTTTATACGTGAGGGTGGCCTTATACCGTATTATCTCTAATATAAGCACGGTCCTTTATTTTTTCAATGTACCTCCGCCCCATGCTATTAATGGAGACGTTCCTTTATTGGAGACTGTTCCATTGTTATTTCAACCTCATTTCAGAGGCATATTGCCATGCCAAATTCATGTCAGACACACACATTTCAGGGTTTTTTCGCCGGTACAGATAATGAATTTACACAGTGTGCTTATAATGGAGACTGAGCACTTTATTTTTTGAATGCCGCCCCAAGGTGTTCTGTTATTGGAGACTGTGCTTATATTAGAGATAATACGGTATTCAGATATAACGCCATGGCTTTATATGCACGGGGTACGGAAGCACGGTATGTTGTTTCCCATTCATTCCAAACTGATATTTTAGTGTTGAGCGATTTGTTGTGAGAATTGCACGCCTTGCTTCTCCAGGGTTTAGACCTTCCGTTCTGCTTTCTGTCTTCTCTTTTCATCCTCTTAGGAATGTTCTGGTTCTTGCCTTGCGTGGATGAGTTCCGCACTGTTGACTTGCGTACCCAGGCGTTCGATGTGCCTCCACAAGAGGTTAGTGTTCAACGAGTGTCATGCTTGTGAGGAGAAAATGAAAACGATGAGTCTCGGACAGCTATGCTACCGTGTCTAAGAATGGCCATGCGCGAACCGAAAGCCCGTCGGTGTTGTGCCTGTTCTATCTGCATGTTTCCTGAAGAACATTGGCAGTGAGGGTGACTGCAGTTTTAAACGCATTTGTTGTCCTCGGTTCTACATTTTTATTTGTTCTTCCTCTTTAGATGCTGACCAAGGATAGTGTGACTATCCGTGTCGATGCTGTGGTGTACTACCGTGTTAATGGACCCAATATCTCCATCACCAATGTCAAGAACCCGCACCACAGCACCAAGCTGTTGGCCCAGTCTTCGTTGCGTAACGTTCTTGGAGGCAAGACCCTCGCCGAGGTCTTGAGTGACAGAGACAGCATCAGCAAGGCCATGCAGGTCAGGGGCGAGAGAGAGAGAGAGAGAGAGAGAGAGGGGGGGGGGGGGGGAGGTAGCGTGTTTCATTCTTCATCCAGGTGCAAGACTTCACCTTTGCTCTTAGTCTTTCGATGACCCTTCATTGACGTAGTCATTGACTTTCAATGTGAACACTCTCCTCAGCAATGCTGCCATACACACTGCACCGACACCTGTTATCCATCGTAGTCGAAACCAGCAGCTGTACGACTTCAGAGTACAGTGTGCATGAGAAGATGCATGTACTGCTGTCGAATTTGATAGGCAATGGAGACCGTTTGCACTCGGCAATGAAATGAATACCTGTACACGTACAAGGGTAAACTCTAATCTGAGCAGCTGGCTTTCCCACAGAGCTATTAATAATTATTATAAATCCTCGAAGTAAAATAAGGAATGAACATTCGGCTCTTACTCGTAAGAAGGTGCAACAGGTTCTTATTGTCTATGTTCTGTAGTCCAATGTATTTGTTTGTGAGTTGTGTAGTTGAGTGGTGAATCAGAGATTAAGTCCAACTCTGTGCCCAGCACCATCGGTATGGATGTACTCAATCTGCGGACAAACCTGTTTCGTCCTTTGTGGACTCATCAGCGCAGCACAGAGAAAATGAGGCCGAACCTGATCGCAATGAAAAATAAATAGTCCAAAGCCAGATTTAAACCAGGCCCGAACGTACCTTGCTAGAGTGCTCAAACTAAAAAGTTAGTGAGCCCTGCATACCGCAAACAGCAAAGGCACTACCCCACATGAGAGTGCTCAACTACTACAAGAGCAGGAGCGAAATACTAGGTATGGATGTATGTAGATGCATGTGCTTCAAGTTTAATATGTCTCTATGCGTTTCATTGTATGCTGTGTTTGCAGGAAGCTCTTGACATTGCAACCAACCCGTGGGGAATTCTCGTTGAACGTGTCGAAATGTAAGCCATATATCAGCTTCTCCCTTGGGCACAGGTAGCTCCTCACCTCTCATCCTCTTTCAATGGACGTGTTTAGTCATGCATTCTAAACTCAGGTTTGAAATTCCCGAATGACCAGAACGAAACACAGAGATTAGGAACGAGTTAATAGAAAGAAGTCACATACCGGTAATAACCGTATGATTCACTCCACAGATTAAGATTAGTTGTGTATGCGGCAAACACAAGTGGGGTCAAGGCTGTGTACATGGCTAATGTGTAGAGCCGCTCTACCTGGATCATATCCTTCGTGTTGGTAATTTAAGAATGGCTTCTGGATCTCTTGTCACGTTCTCATGTCTTATGACTGTCCCTGGTTCCCATGAAAACCTTAGTGTTTGTTTTATCCGAGGCTTCCCAACAATCGTTCTCCTCAAGTTTAATGCATGTTACCAAGAGAAATAAACAAGAGTGTGCAACTCCGGATCTCTCCTGCACAATCTGCAGATACCCCCGCCCACGGCGGAATTTTTTGTTGACGTCACCTTTTTTCAGAGAAACGCGCATTTTGCCGCAGAGCAGTGTGAGAGCACGTGCTGGGCACCGACCTTATAGTGTAAAGCCCGGCCAAGAGCACGAGGGAGAACTTTCCGAAAGACTCGCAGCGCGTGCGTCGTCGAAAAGATTACGTCAACAAAAAATTCCGCCGTGGGCCTACCCATCCGCGAGTTGCACACTCTTGATGTTACGTGTAAATGTACATGAAATATGCCTGAACGCAAGTTAGACCAGCTTGTAAGAAAGTCGGGAACTGCCTAGGAAATGCCTTGTATTACATGCCTGACAAGTATTGCTGTTCAACTGTGTGCGCGTATTTGGCCGTATCCAGGAAAGACGTGCGCCTGCCACCTCAGCTCGTGCGTGCCATGGCCGCGGAGGCGGAAGCAGACCGTGACGCCCGCGCCAAGGTGGTCTCCGCCGAGGGCGAGCAGAACGCAGCGCGCGCCTATGCAGAGGCCGCTGACACCATGTCCGAAGAGCCCGGTGCACTGCAACTGCGCTACCTGCAGACGCTTCATTCCATCTCCGCCGAAAAGTCCTCCACCATCTACTTCCCGCTGCCGCTTGACCACTTGGGACCCACCAGTAGACAGTAGATAACGCTATGCTGCCTTTGACACTGTACAGTGATCATGCATGCGACTGAAACACGGGCTGGTACTGCTAGGCTGGGGGTAGCGCTACCACTACAGACCAGTGTAATATGATCATGCCTTGAAGTGGGTACTTGCTCGCAGCAGCAGCAGTACGCTCTCCTTCTCCTTGTTGTTGACCTTGAGCGTTTTTTCTTCTTCTTTTTACTTACACAATGGACGACCAAGTGTGCCCTCTAGCACCATGCCCTGCATGTTGTTGCTGTGAAGTGCATTGCTGTTGAGCTGCCCAGTGGAGTCCTGACTGTAGCAATTATTTTGTACATCGTGTCACCGTTTTCTTTTCTGTACCTCTTTGCTCTGCCGTGATGTACGCTCACTAACTGCAGTTTGTGTGTGTGTGTTCCGTCTCTCTTTGCTCGGTGCTTGTAGAGAGCTTTTATGTACCTGGGCACTTGACAGTTGATTCCAGTCCAAGGACTAGAGAAGCTGGGGCTGTAGTGAGTCATTGAGAGCTTTTTTTATGCTGTTTTGCTTTTTGTTATTGTTTCTAATCTTTGTTGTTGGCATGGTTGAGGAACATAACAGTTCTAGAGCAATTATCTTGAATCGGTCACGCAAGTGGTCTGCGATGTGTGTCGTGTGCGCTGCAGTCATGTACTCGTACACGTGTGCGGATTTCCGTGTGACAGGCGCAGTATTTGTAGGGGGCGTTCATTTGTGATCTGCTGGTTTCAGTAGAAACTACAGTGCTGCTCAATGAAATCCAGTCGCTTCACTCAAGTTTGCGCCTTGCACCATTTCGCAGGTCTAGGGCTGCACAACGCCTGGCTCGTACTTAAGTGACGTCGTCGGATTTCATTGAGCAGTACTATACTATTTTCGGTAGATGTGCTCGTTTTTCCTACTCAGAATACCGGTACTCTACTTTTCTCTACTGGCTCTACCAGGTTTGAGGCTGGTAGAAGCCTGAAGAAGTTGATATAGGTATGGGATTTCCAGCAAGAATCAGGCAGTTGCATACAACTCCATACAGTTGAGAAAGCCTAGGTAATGAAAGCGAATACTTCCACCTATATCTTGCAGATATGTTCACTAAATCCTGTATAAAGTGATGTTTGTGCACTTACCTCTCTACCTTCGACTGCTATCGGTAGAATGCCTTGTCTTTGGTAAGTGGACACAAATGTGTGGGGCTAGAGTTGTCACGTGAGTTGCATTGTGGTTTGCTATACTTTTGAAGTACATGATTGTGTTTGGTAACATTGTATACCGTACCAGTAATAGTCATATCCTTTATTGCTGAACCCATAAATTGTGATACAGATTGTAAAGAACCATTCGAGGTAAAAGAAAAGCCATTCATGGAAAATGAAGAAGAAGGAGAAAAGGTTGTTGTACCATGTCAGACAGAGTACATGACGTACTTGAAGTAGTAGTCACGCACCTACAAAATAATATTGCAGGTTTAATATTATTATTATTATTATTATTAGCTAAAACCGTACCAGTCAGATAAGGTGGTAGACAGCAGGGAGAAGTACATTAGTACTGCAATAATGTGTACTACCGTAAAAGTCTGTAAATAAGTACGCACTTACCGTAAAATCCCGCCAGAGCGCCCCATCTCTCCTATCCGCCCCTCCCTGACTTCTTGTCAGGGACGTGATTGGTTGTATCCTCGTATGACTCTGTCATAGTCTGTGATGCCGTACTGTACTGCAGACGCGTGCCCGACCCCGTTGGAAATGTACGCAACAGTGCCCACCCTCTTGACCAGGGGTCGCACAAACCTTGAGTTTTGACGGGTCTGTACGACTCCTGGCTCTTGACCTTTGGTCGGTGTACGAGATGCACGAACAGTTTTTGTAGGGTGAGTACTTTTTCATGTAGAACTGAATGCGGCAAGTAGGACTCGCCCATCCGCCCCTCCCCACCTGAAGCGTCGAGGAGGTAGGGGCGCTCTGGCGGGATTGTACGGTACTTTCGAATGTTGTGGTCACACCCGTACTAATCTTCGGGCGGGTACTAACTTTCGGACCCGGCTGACTTGTAATTGTATGTAGTGGAGAAGTAATTGTTCATGCTACGTGCTGCATGTGCGAACCGTACCGGTACTTATTTCAGGCTGAACTTGACTTCAACACACAGAGTCAAAAGGATGAACGGTGTATTTATTTAGGGCAGGGCCATTATTTAGCAATTGGGGGTCATCTGGCATTATCGATAATTTTCATGAAACGATAAAGTTTAATTATGAGAATTTATGGCCAATCCCCCCCCCAACGAAAAATATATTGACTTGACAGCTAGAATAGATTGATGCTTCAGCTATCAATGTTTTTTCATAACGGAACTCATTGAAGGATCAGTATTGCAAAGTGAAAACTGTACGTTCCATACTATGAGCATAATGACAACTGATAACAGAGTATGCTCCATTTGCAGGTCTACTTGATCCAGCTACATAACATTATGGATTCCCCCCCCCCCCCAGGATTTATGATGCCATTTTTATCTGATGATGCAGCGGCGTCGGACACGGTACGGTCACTACGGTACTGACCATACCACTTTTTGCCCCCAGGTACCCCATGAATCAATTATAATAATACAGTGGTCCCTTTATAATCCGGCACCATTTGTGCTAAAGAAATTCTGCTGGATTAGGGAGGGTGCTGGATTAACAAATCTTATCTACTATTGTAATGTGCACGAAGAGGACATTTTGGCTAATGAACATTGTGCTGGTTTATAGAGGGTGCTGGTTTATAAAGTGCTGGATTAGAGAGGGACGACTGTACACTGTTGTGGGCTCTAAATTGCCAAAATGTTCGCCTCGGCCACCCCTCCTCCACGAGTAAATTGTTCTTCCGATGTTTGGCCGTACCACACTAAAATACCTTCCGACACCCCTGTCAGATGGTGACCTTGCATGCTAGCTATAAACCCTTCCACACAGGCCCAGCCCTTCCTTTAGCTAACTAACACCTGTATACACCTCAAGTTGCCAGCTACATGCACATGCATAATCATCATGGTCCAGATAGCCTGCAGATGCGACTGGGGATACTGTTGCAGTGTGCACACTGGCTGTACAGTATAACCTTTAAATATAACTGTTAAACAGTTATATTATGCATGTATGAATGCCTTGGGTTTCAGAACACTGCAGTGGTATGGCATGCATCTTGCCGAAGACGCGACCCCCCCCCCCCCCACCGAAAAGCACTGATTACACTGAGATCACTCTTAGCACAGCATTACTGCCATTAGCTAGTACAGTACAGTCAACTTAACTTCGCAAATAACGACTGCGGATATAACGACAATTCGTGAATAACGACAGAATTTCCATGCCCAGAGCAAAGTCCCATCCCACTGTAATACATATAATGAGACTTCGGGTACTAGTATAACGACACTTCGCGAATAAGGTCCATAAGGACACCTTTTTGATGCCCGGCCGAGTGTCGTTATAAGCGAAGTTGGCTATAGGTCTACATTGTCGCACTGAACTTGAAAAATGACCAATCGTGACCGATAGTATCATACACTCTTCACAATCTCTCTTATCCGGACTTCCAAGTAACTTCCGGTCATCTCTGTCTTTCGGGCACCCTGTGGGTGAGTTTTATTGGAAATATTACTACTCCTTTGCCAGTACCGTAAAGTCGCGGATAAAAGCCGGGTTTGCATACGAGCACATCGCGGATAGAAGCCTGAAAATCAAACGGGTCAAATGCATAAGCCTGTCGTGCGTAGAAGCCTGGCTTCTATGCAAGCTCGGATCGGGTAGGTCAAGAGTGCATGCCCTATGTACCATGATGTACGGTGCATAGTAAAACTGCCGCCATACCGGTAGTCAGTGGTAGATCTACGCGTGTCGCGCGTAGAAGCCTGGCTTCTATGTGCATACAAGCCTGGCAAAAATATCAGTGGTGCATATAAGCATGGTTTGCATACAAGCCTGGCTTGCATTAAAGCCTGATGCAGAAAGCGGCTTATGTGCTTATAAGCCCGGCTTTTATCCGCGACTTTACGGTATTTGTGGAAATAGTGACACCATAGGCCAGATCTCTGGTCTGAATTCTGAGCCTTCCCTCCAAGATCGAGTTGTCCTTTTGGCTTCTGACGCCAGAGGGACTGCAAGAGGAGACACTGAGATACAAATAAGTTAACTGTTCATTGTATCTAACTTTGAGTGTGTTTTTCCCTCTGCTCGAGGGCATTTGCCTTGCTGGAAGAACGCGCCCAGCCCATCGTCGCAGCTATGCCAACGGGAGGTGCTTATTCATAGCCGGGTTAGGCCTAGGCACTATGCTGCATGGTCCTTAGGCTTAGGAGCAGATCCAGAGATCTCTACACTGGGGGGTCCAGTTTAGCCAAAACTGACTACTTTCAAGTAGCTGATACAAAATTTAATACACGTATGGTTTCCAGTGCTGGCAGTATTATGCGAAATTTAGGGGTTCCGCGGAACCCCTGGAGCCCCCCCCCCCCCCCCCCCCCTGGATCCGTTGCTCTGCATGACTGCAGGTGCCGCATTGTTTACCTGCGGTGGTTGTGTACTTGTAGTACTAGTACTAGTAGTCACTAGTGCAGTAGTGGTGGCTGCGTGACGCCTGTTGCGTGTTGGCTAGGCTGCAGCTGACGTCGCATCGGGACATTCCGGAAGCCGGATACAGCTGCCACAGCCTGTCACTGACTTAGACTTTGACCTGATCTGGCAGCATGATATGAGTTGTTGCATGCTGTTGTCATGGTTGTGGAGATTGACGCGTCGAGTTCCGGTATATCCGGTGGAGATCCGTGCATGGACGCCGGTTGGTGCAGCAGCCAGCATGCAGGCAGCTGCGAGAAAAGAACCGTCTTCACGAATCAGTGGTGTTGCACACAGCAAGCCAAATGTTCACGCACTGATCTGCTGCCAGCTACTAGTATCCGGCTTTGTGGGCGGCGCGGTGGCGTGTTAGCATTGAGCTACTCATTTTCTCATCATCATCCGAGGCTTTCACAATCACAAACCAATCTTTGGTTCATCTGCCAGTTTCGTACTGCATGCGAGGCGACCTACCAAACTCCAAGGCAAAGGCCTACCCAAAAGACCACCGCGTTATCCGCATGGTTATCAAAACTAACTAACATGAGATTGAGGGTAAGTGTTGAGGTTGGCGACCGCGAACCTACCGTGATTGGCTACAATGACTATGTTGCAGTACAGTGCTTACGAGATATTCGTATGCCGTGCCAGTGCGGCAGTGGCACGGCCCTGGGTCTGACGCAAGCACTGCAGATGTTAGAGTTTTTAGACCTTCCCTTGCCACACTCACTCATAGAGTCATAATCACAGACAGTCATGTCAGGGAATGAAAGTCAATCCGCGTTATCATGGTTTTGTGTGAGAGGTCATCGTGTCTGCGCCCTGCGACTGATCTACCTGCTATTCGTCGCGCTGTCAACATTTTACACAGTTCAAGCTGTCAACAAGGTCAAGACGCAAGTCAGTGCTTGTCCAGCACCTAGCACCTGTCCAGAGACGATGAACTCTCGAGCTAGCTCCCTGCACTGCACTACGGATACAGCTACAACTACAAGTAGCTCATGAGCCCAGTGAAATTTTTGCTGTCACTGCAGCTGCTTCTGCTACACCGACATACTATTACTTGTAGTAGTAGTCTATGCCACTACATCAGCTGACTGTAGCACTAAAAAAGTAAAAAGCAACACTAGCAGCTAGCTGAGCTGATGAGGCGGATATTTCGTGTTTCTCTTTTCGCGGATTTGTTGCCACTGCAAGATGTAGCTAATATAATAGGCGTGTTGCTCTTTCGCCAGCAAGGATGAGTGCTTCTAGCACGTTCGACATTTTATTCAAATGGCTACTCCCACCATTTCTAGTTTGTGGTAAGTTAGTTGCGGCGGAATTATTATAACCTGCGACAGGAACATCAATTGTGTTTGACATTGTTTCACCCTTTTTTTGCAGGCTTCATCTTCCGGATAAACGGTATATCGCTAGGCTATCTGCTATGTCTTCTGGTGGCGGGGCTATGCAAGTCGAGAGAGTTACCAGGTACGGTACACAAGCATTCTCCATGTTCTATGCTACACGTGAAGGCAGGAGTGGGTTGGATTCCAGTTACCACGATTACATCAGCTATGAAAGAATTACATATTTTTTGAACGAAGTCCAGGCCTGCCAGGTGATTGAAATGAATGAAATAAATTTCAATTAATTTGTCGGGGTGTCATGCGAGTCATAAAAATATTCTTTTGGGATTCGCTCGCCGTTTACACTGAGTCCATTTTAAGTCGTGGAGATTGCCCCCTGTGTGCTGGATCGCACTCCATGGATACCGAAAACTCCATACTGTGAACTGCCTAGTGTTCGTGTCGGACATACTTTTAAAATGCAGGTTTTACCGCATTTGGCACACCGTAGTGTATCACTGACAAATGAATAGGCTGGCGGTGCGGGCACACAGCCCCGGGAACTTCTGACTGCGCTTTCAGCGTGGATGGTCATCGCTTGGTGGATATGCCCGTCCCTCTTTATCGGCGAAAGCCTGGGACCATGAAGGGCTCGCATGCTGTGCTCAATACAGCAGAGTGCCATTTATCTGAACGTCAACTTTCCGTGATGCCTTGTCACTCGGAATTGAAAGGGGCAAGAATATGTTCTTGTCGTTTCCCACCCTTAGCACTGAAGGGCATTTGAGCCTACACAGCTTTGCAGGTGCCTGTGGCAAGGCTACGGTGATGTTCATTTGCACCTTCATAGAAAGGCATGGAATGCTTACTGTGGGTGGCTAGCATGAAGTCGTGGATGGCCATTGCGCAATGCAATGTGCTATGGGACCCATGCAAGGGTGTTGTACCACACCTGTTTCGTTGGAGTCCACGGCCACCATAAAAAAAAGAATTCTTCTCCTGTCTATAGTGTAATTTAATACAATCTGTTCTCTCCTGTCAATAGTAGTGTGCTTGCGTAAAGCCTGTTTTCTCTCATTTGCGCTGCACCTGCCACCCTGGTATAGTCAGGCATGGTGGCGGCCTGGCACGAGCGAAACTTCTCTAAGCTGGTTATGTGTTCTCAACACAATTGTAAGCCGGTGATAACGCGGATGTGTGAACTTTGCTTTACTTTTGCTTTTCTCATTTTACTGTGCAGGCGGTGGGCAGCGTGCACTGACAGCAGTCGTGTTTGCTCTGTCCACAGTGAGTTTACTCGGGCAGGCGTTGTTTCAGATCACCAGGACGACGTCTTACGCTGACGACCAGCTGCAGCCAAGTACGTGTATTCCATTTCCTGTTTGATTTGTACGGGGAACTACTACATTGCTCCCTCCCGTCCGACACGTTCCGATCATTTTGTTTTGGAATAACAATTCTACTCGTATTGATTTCGAAACAAGCTACGCTGTACTAGCAGGGGGTGACACTCTTACGTGGGGTCACTGAAAGCATGAGTGGGTCCAGTGTAACTCCTAGTCCATTCGTACATGGGATAAAGTCTGACCGGGGTCCAGGACCAGGTTGACCCTTACCCAGTCTTGTACGGGGGGGTCTGACCAGGATCCAGGGTAGCTCCAAGGGTCCGTTCTTACGCGGGGTAAAATCTGAATGGGGATACAGGTGACCCCCAGGCAACTCTTGCATGGGGTAAAAATCTGTCCGGCGTCCTTCGACTCACTCTTGTGTCACTAGCATCTGAGCAGGGTCTATGTATCCCCCCAGCCCACCCTTGTGTGTGGGAAGTCCTGACCGGGGTGTGTGTGTGTGGGGGGGGGGGGGGGGGGGCGCATGTACTAACAACATGTACACATGATGTCCACTGAGCAACGCACTACAACAACAACAGTGCATGTCCAGGTCTACTCTCCGTATAACGTAATCTCTGGGACCACGCACAAATTATGCTATATCGAGAGTTATGTTATGTAGAAAACTGTGTGTAAAGTACAAGATGTACCTCAAAATGAAGGGTATTACAAGGCGGGTGTAACTGTGCAAACATATACACACTGTACCACCATCAATGCCGCAGAATATATGCACAATAGGACTAAACTGGCTAGCTACGGCTACAGCTTGATCGTACCGCGCATGTGAATCTACGTTGTATCGAGAGTGCGCACGTCGGGGACCGCGCCACATGGTGCGTTATGCCGAGGTTTGCGTTATGTAGGACTAAACTGCCTAGCTACAGCTACCGCTTGATCGTACCGTGCACGTGAATTTATGTTGTGTCGAGAGTGCGCACGTCGGGGACCGCGCCGTAGCGTGTGTTATGTCGAGGTTTATGTTATGTAGGATTATGTTGTGTAGAACAAAATTTGTATGGGAGTGATGCTGTTTCGACGCGGGATTTGATTTTTTTACTTACTAGCGAGGTTTATGTACAAGTGAGAGTTGTTATATCGAGAGCAGACCTGTATTGTGCTAACAGCTTATTCACGTGATTGGTTATTTTCAAGCACATGACGGGAGGGGGGGGGGGGGTAGGAGGTGTGGTCGCTGCCACGTCCACACTAAGTTAAACATGGGAAACACAACATGCATGTACATGTGCCGTATTTTCCGGAGTGTAAGCTGCACCCAGATTTTTTGTCACGAAATGCAGACATCTATCCTGTATTTCATGGTTCATTGGACCATCAATGTGTAAGCCGCACTGACATTTTTTGAGTGAATTACAACACGGCTTATACTCCGGAAAATACGGTGTATTGTATAACTCCACCAGCCAGTATCAAATTGCATATCTGGCCAGTCTTTGCTCTTTTTATTTTATATCTCCGGCCAGCATTTTTTTTCAATGTACTCCATTCGTGCACTGCAGATAATGGCTCAGAGCCTATCTGGCGGCAAGTGGGCTTCAACCAGTAAGTTTTAGAACGAATGATAGCGCTTAGTCTTGTCTCACGCCCTCTCATTCAATCATGTATGATGTGACTTCACGTCACACATCTACGTTTGTGGCCGCTTATTTTTTTATTTTTTTTATATATTTTTAAATCAGAGTAAAAAGTAAATCGGACTTGTTGCATTGACTCTAGCGCTGTGTTCTCTAGCGCTGTGTTCTCTAGTGCTGTGTTCTCTAGCGCTGTGTTCTCTAGCGCTGTGTTGTACTACTCGGCAAGGAGCTTGTCGAGCATTGTGCTTCTGTCCAGCGTTCACACCGCCCTTCTCTGTACATGTACTTGTCTACCTGCTGCATGCGTTGGGTGATGTGCCCTTTCTTCTGCTTGCTCTGTGCTCTGCGTGTGTGTGTTTTTAGAATGTCAGATTTCAGTGGCGGAGAGATGGTGCGGTATGTGCTTCCGGACATTGGCATTTGCCTCCTGTCTCTGACGCTGCTTATCCTGGCTCTGCTCGCCAATAGAAGAACGGAAGACGATGCGGAGGAGGACAGCGTGAAGGACGACAGTGCGGGGGAGGACAGCGTGAAGGACGACAATGCGGAGAATATCGCCACGAACGAGTCAGTACCAGCAGCTGTGTGTTCAATGCACTATACACAATTCTGTAGATGGAAAGTAGACCATTCATATTACTTGGTTTGGAGATGTTAAATCTTCATCATTAAAACAAATATGCTCTCTACCGTGTTCATCACTGGCTGTGTAGATCTATAGCTACAGTGGTAACTACGCAGTGAAAAATAAAATTAGAGGTTGTGTACAGATGGAGGTCTGTAGACTCTTTTTCCAGGGTGACTACATGGTTGTAGTGAAGAAAGTGTTGTGGTCTCCACGGCCGCTGTGTAGATGTAGTTGACACATTGTATGACAGTGTGATGATGGTGTGCTTTATGTATCTCTTTGTTCAGAACTGACAACGGCGCCTATGAGTTGCCGCGGCTTCGGACAAGCACTCTCTTCAACCTCGTCTACTGCCTGCTTCTGTTGCTGGCTGGCTGTGCCTTTCCCAGCATCTTGTCGTTCACGTATCTGGCTTTGTTCATCTGTATTGTGACGCTATGGGCTTCACACTGCACCAAGAGAGGCTCAGACATGCTCTCCATTGTCAAGTATATGATGGTCATCTACGCTGGATTGCAGCTGATACTGCTCTACCTCTATCTGTTCCAGTTCTTTCAAGAAGGCTTGGATTCAGGCACGGTAGTTGCGAGGTGCGTATCCCTCTCTGTTTGCTTTGCTTTTTTTTGCTCTGCGCTGGCTTCTCCTTGTTTTGTTTGGAGATTGTTTGGTGTGTTTGGGTCTGTCTTCAATACATGTCTGTGCTGTTACATGTATTTTGTCCATAGCCCCTGCACTATTATGCTACACAGTTTGTGTTGCGCGGCCCGCACTCATGAACAGTTAATGTGCTTTGTGGGACTAGCACCAAGGCAAGTTTCACCTGTGGCTGAGCTATGCACACACACACATACCTTAACTACCATCACCTTTTTTGGATTCCGGGTGTTTTTCTCCTGCTCATATCTAGTAGTCATCATGTGTCTACACCTGGTGTTGTCTCAGGATTCTAGGTTTGAATGCAATTGTGAACACAACCGACTACGAGCAGCCGTGGGAGTTGAAGCTGCAGGACGACGTCAAGTGGAGCGAATACCTGGCCCCGATACTCATCCTGGTCTTGTACTGGTTCTCGGCACGTGGGGTTGTGTACGAGTCGCAGAGAATACGCCGGCAAGTGCATGGAGATTCACCTGGTACACCGACATCCGCTGAACAGGTTTGTTCACACTATGCATTTCAATCATGTACATACTACATATACAATGCTGCGCAATGAAATCCGATCGCGTGAGTCGAGTTTGCGCCCTGCACCAGTTCGCATCCCAGTGTCCGCAGGTCCAGGGCTGCACAGCGCCCGGCGCGGCATTGGCTCGCTCCATCGGATTTCATTGAGCAGCACTATACTACTTTCCTTGTGCATTCTCTTTTTTCGGCTTTCATCAGAAGTGGAGGGGGGGGGGGGTATTTTCTAAATTAAAAACACCCCTGTTCTAGTTGTTGGTGCAGGCTAAATTTGATTTTTCAAGGAAAACCTTCCGAAGAGGCATCAATCGATTCAGCATGATGCTTCCATTCTCCCTGAAACGTTTCACTTTGGAGCCATGACAAGGACGCTATAGCGATTTGCAGATCGAAAAACCCCAGTTTCGTTCGTCAAGAAGAAAGGCCATGATTGCACACAAACGGTACGGTCCGTGTGGTGCAATGAAGTCCTCAGCCGACCCCTTGCTCCGTGCCTGCACGCATACGCACAAATGCTGTGCGGGTGCTTTTTTGAACGAAGATATTAGTAGTAGAAGATAAGTTCTTTCATTTGTTTCAGAAACGGCTGACGTGAACTGCCCGTCATCAGTTATCAACCAAAATCTTCCGTACTTATGGCCATGCTTTGTTATGCCGTCAAAGTGTAGTGTGTTATCTGGCCCTGCAAGCTGGCTAAGGTGCAGTGGACCACCTGCTCGGTCTTCCAGCAACATGAATGTAACCGATGTTGCCCTTGGGATATATGATGGAGTTTTACCGGCCAGAGACAGGACCTCTGGTGGATGCGCGTTGTTTTGATTCTTGCTCTTGACATGGCGTAACTTTACTTTCTGACGTCGCGCTGCAGCGGCCAGGCAGTAACCACTCAAACGTGCTTGACGTCATTTTGCTGCTCCCCTTGCTATTTTCGTTCGTTTGCTTCGTCGACCACCCTTCGACTTTTGTTCGAACTTGGTATAGACTGTATCCTTTGCAGGTTCATGACTCTCCTAACTCCATGTTGCCCCTTGTCTACAACCATTACAGGGATTGAAATTTCCTGTGCTCTCTGATCCCTTCAAGACTCCTTGACAAAGAGCACAGATGTGTGTTGCATGGATAGTTGGGCCGTCACTACTTACATCGATATGAAACACATATTCAAGGGCTTTCTTGTAAGCAGACACCGGATATCTTGTCTGTTGGGAACACGAAGTAAATGTTGCACCTCCAACACGGCACACTTGCTGCAAATTTGCTGCATGGTCCTTCATTTCGTGCGATTCATCGCAGATGTGTATACATATCCCCCACTGGAAAACAGAGAAAAGAAAAGGCCCATCATATTTTGAGTTCACCATCATATTCAAGACTATGCATGCTGTTGTCTAATCCTCTTCACTACTCCACAAATCACCATTGCCGTCACTCACACAGACCAGTGCACTAAGCGACCAGGTAGGAGAAACAAAGTCAAGATATTTACAAGAAGATTACAGCAAGAAAAGAACCAAGAACAACGATCGCCAAATCGCTGTCATCAGCAAAACGTGCATGCGTGCATGCATTGGCTTACGTGTACATCAGTGCGTGCATGCATGAAGATGAAAGAGTAGAAAAGCAGATGATCACAATCATGCATGATGCATCGATGAGTCAACGTACAACGTAACCATGAATATAATAATAATAATAATAATAATAATTGAATTGTTTGCAGGCAACCTGCCTACACTCAAGAGAGCACTGCATTTCACACAAATCCATTGGTATCGTTACAACGTTTCGGTCTTTATGACCATCATCAGGAATGAAGTGGACATGGAAAGAACAGCAGTATAAAAGAAGGAGGCAAGCAAGCAAAGCGCGGTACATAGTGACAGCGCGCGTAGAGAAGTGCAAAGCACGTCATGGCGGGTGTGCATTACTACATATACATGACAACACAAGCACAAACGGCGAGGAAAGTAGATACTGCGCTACAGCAGTGATAACAGCCCAGTTCCAGTCTCACACCACCAGTGAGGTGTCTAGAGCCCCGCGCCACTCGCAGTAAGGTGGTGTTATAGCAGATCCCAGCCACTGTTATTGTTAATTTCCGGGGATCGCTCCCTGATATTGATGGCCTCCCGGATCCTCCTCCTGGGGCGGTCACGCTCAGAACCGAGAACCCGGATACCTGAGAAAGCCGTTGCTCCCAATGGCAATGGGTCAGATGCATGCTTGGCCGCGAAATGCTCACCCAGCGCGGTGCCGCTCACTGTGTTGCGTGCGTCGTCGTTGTGTTCTTTTGTCCTGGTAGCGAGGCTGCGGTACGTCTCTCCGACATATTTATCACCACATTTGCATTCGAGGTGGTATACAACATTTCGCTCCGTGCATGCCCCCGAACCGGACATGCAGGCGACACAAGCAGCTTTGGGCCGCCCCCGTTTACGGGGCCTGGACGGGTCTACATACCTGCGGCATGGTGGTTTGCGGAGGGCAGACGTGCAAATCATAGAACTTAGACGGCGGTTCCTGTAAATCAGCTGGGCATTTATCTTGTACTTCCGGAGTAATTTATGAATTTTGTTGTGGATATACTCGGTGTGAAACGGTAGGTTGAGGGTGACACGGTATTCATTCTGCACTCTGACACGTCGGGGGCGCATAGCTCGTTCACGTGCCGAAACTATAACTGACTCTGGGAAGTTGTTGAATTTTAGGATGTTGGTTACTTTTTCTTCACTTCTTTTTAGGGTGTCGGCATGTCGCCCTGGTTGTTCGTGAAGTGGGCATGGAAACTAGAGCGGAGTATACTGCTGTTCTTTCCATGTCCACTTCATTCCTGATGATGGTCATAAAGACCGAAACGTTGTAACGATACCAATGGATTTGTGTGAAATGCAGTGCTCTCTTGAGTGTAGGCAGGTTGCCTGCAAACAATTCAAGTATAATGAAGCTGCGTGAAGCGTCCTTCAAAATTTTGAAACGGTTCTCCCCCTCAAGGACTCAGACGCCCTGGTTGTTCGTGAAGTGGGCATGGAAACTAGAGCGGAGTATACTGCTGTTCTTTCCATGTCCACTTCATTCCTGATGATGGTCATAAAGACCGAAACGTTGTAACGATACCAATGGATTTGTGTGAAATGCAGTGCTCTCTTGAGTGTAGGCAGGTTGCCTGCAAACAATTCAAGTATAATGAAGCTGCGTGAAGCGTCCTTCAAAATTTTGAAATAATAATAATAATAATAATAATGGTGACAGCAAAGTTCCGTGTCCAAAAGCGCAGGTGCAGCAAAGAAAAGTCAAAGTAAGTACTATCTATGCAACTAATTATATCGGCGTATCCGACAAACACGCATAACAAACACTGTATCGTAACAACGCACTCGTATCTCAAGGACATTAATCACGTCGTATTGTAGACGTAACGATAGGCAGTAATAATGTAATAAACGACAACGTATTTAAACAGTCACAACAATAAATATCACACTCGTAAATGATGTTATCACAACGACACTCATTCTATTTCAAATTTTCAATACTACATAATACAACTGGAAAACCAATGAAACTTGGTAATCATCTTCGGGCGCTAAAAAGTGCAAGGGGGCATTGGGCTAAAACTTCGTAGCAGTCATCCCTACCATGACAGGCGTCGACTGGTATACGTTCCATTATGTTCTCTTCCACGAAGGGTCGTCTGCGAAGCTTTCGTCTTCGCCAATTCTCGGACAGATCGTGCGTCTTCGCAATGTATCTCCCGTCTCCCTCGGCGGATCAAAACACGGTTTTCGCCAGGAAGCAGACACAATTACTGACTTCGCGGCGGCAGCATCTTTGAGTAGGGAAAATCCAGCAGCTAACCAGGAATTACCAATAAATACGCATAGTACACGATAGAATTTGCGACGACCGTCATTGTGTCATCGCACTATGCATGTGGCATGCACGGGGAAAGGAACACGGAAGAGTCCTTTTCTTACGGCAGCCTGTACTGGCTAGTTACGGTCCTTGTCTCTGATGCTGTCTTTGATGACCACCCTAGTATGTGAGTCAGTAAATTTAAATTTGGTGTCTTGGTTTGCTTGCCGCCTGGTCTGGTCTGGTCTTCATTTCTTCCCAGGAGGAAGTCCTTTCAAGGGATGGCTCCACTCGGGTATCCACTCGCTCCAGCGGGAAGGTGAGTTCCTTTTATTGTTCAGTAACGTGCCTTGTCCGTCGTGCCAAGCCACGTGACAAGCATGCTTCGTAAAATGTGCCTGCATTGACCTTTGAGTGTGTGCAGTGCGTAGGTGTAGGATCTTGTGTAGGCAAGTTAATTTGTGCTGCAGTTCACATTACACAGACCACTGCATACACTTAGTCTGTACATGCATGTGTGGTAAATGACACACAGGGGTACAGTAGAACTCTGATGAGACGTACCCCAATGGCCAGCAGGAAACTGTGTACTTAGTACCCAAAGGACTTCTTATCCCAACATACTTCAGTGTGGATCAATACACCCGGTGCTCTGGACAGTGTCTGTACTAAGCAAGAGTGTGTATTCAAGTGAGTTCTACTGTACATGGGTAGAATCGCTTTGGTGTACGTTTTGGTATTCTGTGCCAGGTATCGATGAAGTGTCGCGATAAGATGACCGAATGCCCCCGGTCCCCTAAAGTTGGTCCTATAGAGATCTGAGTATAGTACGTATTTGACGATTATAAACCTTCCTCTTTCCCTTTCTCCCCTGTTGCAGTTGATCAACGACAAAGGGCGTAGCTTCAAGCGGACGTCCACTCTGTCTGGTGAGAGTGGCAGCGGTGGTGGTGGCGGTGGTGTGGCCGTTGATGGCACGTCATCGTGGCGGCCTCGCAGTATGCACGACCCCGCCGTCATGGTGGTGGTGTCGATGGGAGGAGAGACCAGCGTCGTGGATCCCACTAGCGGTGCGGCGGATAGCGTGGATCCTGAACTGGGCAGCACAACACCCGCCGGTCAGCAGCAGCAGCAGGCACAACCCGATACACAGCAGATAGATGGTGCTGCCGGAAAGGCAAACAAGCAGCGAGAAGAGCAGGAGCCGTTTGACTCCTTACTGGCTTACGGTTACATTGCTGCACTGATTGCCATGATGGTGAGTAGGAGTATTGTTTCAATGATTCGTGGCATATTTTTCATAGAGAGATTACTGAGTACTCGACTCCCCGCCGTTTAGGAGCTGCATCTGACGCCTGCATCATGGGATGGTGGCGTCCCACGGAAGCGGAAAGGTATTTCTTGACCCGCCCTGTACACGGACCCTTAGTTTATTTGAATTTTATTCGTATCTTCTCATCTCCTATCTTCTCTTCGGAAGTACTTTCTACGGAATGGTATACAGTGTAACTATGGTGATTTGCACTACACATCTGACCACTCACAGAACGATTGGGGTCTGCGCCTGACCAGTCCAGGGGCGTCGGAAGGTATTTTAGTGTGGTACAGTCAGCCATCTGAAGTACAATTTACTCGTGGTGGAGTGGTGGCTGAGCCGAAAATTTTGGAAATTTAGATCCAAGATCAGTGTATTTTATTGATTCACGGGGTACCTGGGGCAAAAACTGCCAAAAAATGGTACGGTCAATACCGTAGTGACCGTACCGTGTCCAACCCCCCCCCCCCTGTAGTCTCTGTATGATGGAATAAAACAGCCTGGGGAAGGTTGGTACTGTCTTTGGCACTGCAGAGCCGGTACCCAGGTGCCCAGGAACGGTCTTCGTATGTTTCCAAGCCTGTGAGTGTGTGTGTGTGTGTGTGCGCGCGCACGCGTGCGTGCGTGCTCGGGTAATGAAGTTGTCATATATTCTCCGTCTCCGTCTCCTGGCGCTTATTGTTGTTGCTGTCATGTGTTTTGTGTGTGTTTACACTGTAGGTATGGAGTATTGCCTACCTGTCATGGCTGTCCTTTGCCCTGCTCCTCTTGACGTTCCTCATCTGGGTGTTGCCAGAGCCTGGCAGGGGTTCGGCGATCATGTCGCCATTCCTGGTGTTCTACTCCGCTAGTCTTGTCATTATGGAGTATGTGTATGGGCTGAACCTGACGGACAAGGAGCTACCGCAATATGAGGACGTCGGCCTAGTGCGGCACCCCTACCCATTTGGTCACCTGCTGTTAAAGGCAAGTGCCTGTGTACCTGGGCTGTCAAACTCTTTTCCACCATGGCTGTTGGTCTGGGAAAGAACTTGTTTGGACTGTTTTACCCCTTTGTGGACGAGATGTACGACCCGTACAACTTGTGATCGAAATTTTGCATTGTTCAATCGATCGTAAATCTGTCATTTCTAGGTTATTTTTCAAAGATATTGTAGGTTAATTTGTTCGATTGATCTCCAAAGGCAAATAGATGCCTATCACGGCAATCTCAAGGGCTAAAATGCAGCCAAACCTCTTTAGGATGAACACCAAGGGACCGACGGTATTTATTCGCAATAAAGAGAGTTCGTTTTATCCATAGTGTATACCCAGGGAAGTGATCAAACGTGTCCTTCTGATCATTTTGTTTTCCTCTCGAACAGGTCCTATTCTTCTGTGTCGTTCTCATACCAATGTATTACTTCTTCTCCGAGGACTACAAGAAAAGCGTCAAGCGCAATAAGGCTATCCATGAAACAGCCAAGCAAAATGTCAAGGACAAAGCAGGCACGGAGAAAAGATCGCCAAATGCCGCTACCGGCAAAGATGCTTTGCGTGAAGACCGTGCTAGTTCTATTGCCATGCAAGACTTACGGCATGCTGATCAAGGTGAGTTGGGGAAGGGAGGAGGGTTATTATTATCATTATTATTATACGCTTGTTCTCGTTGACATCACCAAGCAAGCTTGGCTAGTCTTCGCATAAGCCGAATGAACAAAAGAAATGAGGAACGAGCGAGGCCAATGAGGTGAACACATGCTTGCAACTGCAGAATAGGCAAAAGGAATACATAAGGAGAGTTCATGATGAGACGAGACGAAGTGCGTAATATTGTCCAGGCGTGCGCTTCACACCTGTGTCTCACGATTGTTGGTGCATGTGTGCGTGCATGCATTGTATGCTTTTGTGTATGCTTTTGTGTGTGCTTTTTGCATGTCGACAGGACCTGATGAAGGACCTGGCAGTTCTGATGAAACTCCCATGCGCGACACCGATGCGAATACAGATCAGGGAGATGGCGCAGGAGATGCCAGTGAGGATGCCGATGGCAACGCAGAAGACAAGACACGCCGGCCGATTCTCTGGGTCATCACGGTGAACATTGTGGCAGTGCTGACCAAGTATTGGATTGTAGTGTGCCTTGTGCTCTACCTGATAGCCAGTCTGCTTCCCAGTGTGTCTGTCTTCAAGATCATCTACATGGCTTTCTTCCTGCTCTTTCTCATCACCAGCCAGGTACAGTGCCTAGTCGTTCTACTCTCACCGTATTTGATGCCTTCTATGGTCTGCGTTTCGTGCAAAGTTAAGCTCCCACTCTTAGCAACTGCGCCTATTGCTTGAATGATGACCAGTGGCAATTGTGATAGCCCATTCATGGTGGTATAGAAGTGTTGAAAAAGCATACATGTATGTGGACACATAGTACATTTTCTTTTAGTTGAAACCTTTCTTTTAATTAAGGTAACTGCAAGAAACCTCAGGACTTCTATGAAAAAAAGTACTGCAGTTTCTGAAATCCCCCCCCCCCCCCCCCCTCTCTCTCTCTCTCTCTCTCTCTCCTGGTCTGTGACCAATGTTTTTTTCTCTCTGAAGAAAAGTAGTGTTACTATGACGTGTGTTTGTTTGCTTTTTCTTGTGTGCGTGTATGGGTATACCTGTCCATGCATCTTTGTGCTATGCAGCTGACCGGTGCATGCTGTGTAGGGTTCCTGCATGCCTTCTGGTGTCTGGCAGTGATGTACTCCATGTTTGTAGTGGCTACACTCTACTCCTATCAGTTCAGCTATGTGGCTGATAACTGGAATATCACACTGCCATCACAGGACTGGTGAGTGGCCATGTCATGTCATTAGCAAATGTTGTGCGTGCCTGAAGATATGGACTTGTGCGAATACATACACACATGAACTCACAAGTATTCACGCACATGCACACATGGACGCATGCACACACATATGCGCGCGCACACACATACACACACACACACACACACACACACACACACACACACACACACACACACCTCAGACCTCAGACCTCAGACCTGCCCATCGCAGAAGCGATGATAGCGAACAGCTATGTTAGACATGGCAACTTGTGCTGGGATTACACCATTCAACAGCTTGCAAGGCTGATGAATTGACCGCCACTATTTTTAGCACACACACACATACACATACACACGCACACACACACACACACACACACACACACACACACACACACACACACACACACACACACACACACACACACACGCACACACACACACACGCACACACCCGATCAACGAAACGCACTGCTTGTGTCTCCATACATCTACCTCATAGATATGAACTTGACTGGACACGTGCATATACATGTATGCTTTGTGTTGGTACAGGATTGATGATCTGGGATTGGAATCCTACCGCACCTACTTCAACGACTCGTTTGACGCACCGGACTCCAGTCTGGACAGTGGACAGCTGTTTGTAAACCTCCTCTTGCCCGTCACCGTGCTGCTATTCGCTGTCATGTATCTACGCTTCTTCTACGCACCTTCACCATCCACCGAGTACCTGCTCTACAAGGCTGAAGCCAGGGAGAAGAAGAAAATATACAAGGCTGAAAATAAAGAGAAGAAGAAGTTGATCAAAGCGGAGCAGAAGGAAGAAAAGAAACGAAATCAGGTGAGCACCATGCTCAAACGTTGGGCTTCTCCCAGTGTTTGTTGTCTGAAGCAGCAGAATTACCTGCCACAGTTGTTATGTGGCCAAAGAAATTCGACCCGTGAGCCAAAAGCAGCGCCAAGGCTCATACGGCCACCTCGGCCCTCAGATGGGTTTTGGACCATGCATGATGTAATGGAAATGGAATCACGGCGCTGCTTTTAACTCACGTGTCGAATTTCTTTGGCCATGGCCGTAGTATGGCAAGTACTGTTGTGTCAGTAATTTTCAAAGAGAGATGCCCGCTTGGAGTTGCAGATGTGCAAGGTGACATCTGACCCAATGTGCATGTTGGCATCACAGACTTGCGTAACTTCTGACGGCCTGGAAGTTGTATGAATGCTGCTGGGTACGTAGCGTGTTTTGTCCAATCTGTGTGTGTGTGTGTGTGTGTGTGTGTGTGTGTGTGTGTACGCACGTGCATGCGTATGTGTGTGTACGCACACGTATGCGTATGTGTGTGGTACTAGTATGCTTCACTGCTTCAGGACTTGTGTGTCTCTCCTATCATGATTGTGGACTATAAAACCCATGCTCGTCTATTGTATCCCTTCCCGATTTGTATTAGGAGCGGTCTGGCAGTGGACGTAGGGCTGGTCGTGGCGGAAGTGCCAGGCGTACTGATGTTCCTGATAGTTCCATAGTAGAGGACGCATCTCCTGGCTCTGGTGCTACTTCTCCAGTTGAAGAATTAGACGCTAAAACGAGACAAGAGGGGCAGTCGGCCTCCGCAGCTGCGACTGCTACTTCTCAGGCTATACTGGCTGGTGAGTCTTTCTTGTTTGGTTACGTGTGTGTCTCTTGGGCATGGATGTCTCTCTCTCTCTCTCTCTCTCTCTCTCTCTCTCTCTCTCTCTCTCTCTCTCTCTCTCTCTCTCTCTCTCTCTCTCTCTCTCCTCCTCGCTCTCTCTCTCGCTCTCTCGCTCTCTCGCTCGCTCTCTCTCTCTCTCTCTCTCTCTCTCTCTCTCTCTCTCTCTCTCTCTCTCTCTCTCGCTCTCTCGCTCTCTCGCTCTCTCGCTCTCTCGCTCTCTCGCTCTCTCGCTCTCTCTCTCTCTCTCTCTCTCTCTCTCTCTCTCTCTCTCTCTCTCTCTCTCTCTCTCTCTCTCTCTCTCTCTCTCTCTCTCTCTCTCTCTCTCTCTCTCTCTCTCTCTCTCTCTCTCTCTCTCTCTCTCTCTCTCTCTCTCTCTCTCTCTCTCTCTCTCTCTCTCTCTCTCTCTCTCTCTCTCTCTCTCTCTCTCTCTCTCTCTCTCTCTCTCTCTCTCTCTCTCTCTCTCTCTCTCTCTCTCTCTCTCTCTCTCTCTCTCTCTCTCTCTCTCTCTCTCTCTCTCTCTCTCATTTGACAATATATTGCACTAAGTTAGTTTGGTAATATCACATAGAAATACATGATGAGGAACATTCCGGGCCTCTCATTATGGAGTTGTCTGTTGCTATGCTTGTGTTGTACGCTTGAAGGTGATGACACCGGTCAGCCTAATGACTCGACCGCTGGCGGTGACACACCGAAGAAGGAGCCTAATCGCATTGTTGTGTGGATCCGTAACCTCGTTTGGCTGATCGTTCTCAAGCTGTACTCGCTTATCAGATGGTTCTTCACTATGTTGATACGCTGCCTGGATGTACACATGGGCAAAGTCATACTGCTTGTTATCCTCGCCGTCAGTCTTGAGGAGGTATGTCACAATGCAATGTTAGGTAAACTAACACCCATCCTGTATGCACGCTAACTGTTATTCTCAGGTCACATGTCATTATTGATTTGACTGGGGTATTGTCACATGACCCATCACTAATCACCCATGCAATCTGCCAGTGTCCTCGCATGTACATCTGTAGTTCTAGTTAAACAGGTGGTCAGTCACAACTGCAATTAGCTTTGAGTGTGATCGGTTGTGTGATTGGTCATGTGATCGGTCATATGATCAGCATAACCTCTACGATAGCAGGGTGCTGGCCGGTCACAGCTGTTCCCAAGGGGCCATCTAACAATATGGCGACTTTTGAGCCGTTATAACTTAGATAAATCCCAATGGGTTTTTATATTTCGAAGGCAGTTATGGCATTTTCACATCAAAACCATGACGAACCAAATTATTTATTTACTTGATGTCACGTGATATTGATGCATCCTTGAAAATATTAGGTGGGCGCAGCCGCAGATATGGAGAAAAAGAAAAAATTGAAGTAAGAGGTAGCTGCTAGACTTCAAACAAGATGGAAGGCCGAGGGAGCGAGATGCGAAATTTCAGATATCGATACGTCAACAAACAAAATGCAAAGGCACGGTTCTCTGCGACGATTTCCTCCTTCTGCTAACTGGATAGACCGGCTCGCGTTGTGGAAGAGTTGCAATCAAATGTGTCTGGGCAACGGACTTTGAGGCGCTCCAAGGGATTGCGGATGGCCTCGTGGTGTTTCCTCAACTCGTAGAAGCGGGCATGGATGCTCTCACTCCCTTGCTCTGCGAGGAGACCAAGGCCAACACCTTGCCGGTTGATAGACGGCACGACATGCACCTCCAATAGGTGCGATTTAGGCGTGAGTGTGGCTGCACTGTGTGCATCACCATTTTTCCACTGTTCCTGTAGGTGCTGTGTCACAGTCTCCACTGTGGCAGCAGGTATGTCAAGCTGGCCTGGAGAAAGGAGAAGAGTGTACTGGAGTTGCTGCTGCACTGAATTTAGTTGTTGCGTAATTGCAGCAATCTCCTCCTCTGTTCTGCTGGCGTACGAATGCAGTAATGAGAGCTTTTCAAAGCTGCCAGCGTCACCAGCTACTGCAGGTGGAATGGAACCGGCAATGGCACTAGACTCAGTGGCTACAAGAAACACATAGTCTGCTGTAGCAGCAGTGGGTGCAAGAGCAGCGGTGTCTACTGTAGATGCAGCGGCCCCAGGAGCAATGATTGTGTTGACTTTTGTGTTTCGCTGTGGCTAGTTAGCAATTTCGTAATTTCAGTGATGGGCAAGAAAACAAAAAAGAGAAGGACACGAAGCACTGCAAGAGAGCGCTCCGAAAAAGGCTTCGCTCGCACGGCAGCCTACGCATGCCGTGCCAGCGTACTGTGTATATCTTCCACTGGAAGCAGAGAAAAGAAAATGCCCATTGTATTAATTTTGTGAGTTCACCGTCATATTCAAAACAACTTGCAAGAATATAAAAGAGAACTCCCTGAGGATGCGAGGAAAACCGAGAGTGATGAAAGAAAAACTCGAGAAGACCTCCCAAGAGCATGATGAAGGTAACTACAAAATGTGCTGACAGTAATTTCAGTCTACATCTATTCTATTGCACCAAACCAGAAAGCAACTTCCTTCTCCTTTGAGCAAGCAAGGCAAGTTTGGTACCAACATGTTCTGTTACACGTCCGCTTTCCTCTGCCGGGGATTTATGTAGGGCTAGCAGCAGTAAATCGCGGAAGAATGTGAGCAACTCACCTAAATTTGATCGTAAAATGATTTGATTTTCTGCAAAATCAGCAGGTGCCTGCCGCCAAATTAGTTGGCCAAAAATTGCTGCCTGGAATAGCCGTGCGGTGAGGTCCAACCGCTTGTGGCAAGTTGCATGGCAGTTGGGTTCATTGAGCCGGGTTGCACGGCCGCAGGGTGGCGCGTGCGGCTTGACGTAGGGTACACAGAAGTGCACAGTGGTTGGGGTTCACCGGCCACTACTGTGCACAGGGGCGTCGGAAAGTATTTTAGAGTGGTACGGGCAGCCAGCTGAAGTACAGGGTGGTACGGGCAGCCAGCTGAAGTACAGGGTGGTATAGGCAGCCAGCTGAAGTACAATTTACTCGTGGGGTCAGGTCGGCTCTTCTGAAGAATTTCGCAATTTAGAACCCAAATCAGTGCCTTTTATTGATTCACTGGGTACGTGGAACAAAGAGTGGTACGGTCAATAGCGTAGTGACCGTAGCGTGTCCGATGCCCCTGCAGTATACTCTGGTGCTTACTACTAGTACATGTACTCTGAACAGATTTTCTGCTCCACTTGTCGATTTGCCTGACAGAAGCCCGCTACAAACAGATTCACATCTACGTTGCAAAATGATATCTATTCGTTAGCGGTGTTGTGAACGCAGGAGATTTTATCAGTTGAATTTGAGCTGATGGCAGACGTAGACAGGCCGAGTGTATTCTTGTCGCCATAACACCAGTGCTGGGTACGTACTATGTACTGACATTGTATGGTATACTTGCACAATGTACATGTTGCTGCGTGATGCCTCTTGATGCTTTCTGTGCAGGTGTGCTGCGCCAATCTGTTTGCAGTGATCTTTGTGTGCATCACATTGCTCTACTCGCACAACACAATGCTGAGCTATGCATTGTTTGACTTGTGGGCTGTCATCAGTATCCTGGCCAAGATGGGCTTTCAGCTAAAGAGTGTGCGCAACTATCGAGCCGACCAGTTCTTCTTCAGAAACTGCACCGGCAACGTGAGTTGACATGCATGTTGTATCTTTTTTTACTCCGGCTCTCTTTCTCTCATTTACATGCACACATGCATGTACATGTAGGTGTCCACACGCACACGCACACACACACACACACACACACACACACACACACACACACACACACACACACACACACACACACACACACACACTTGTACTTGCTCACTGCCAAAACTGTTCACGTGGGTCTCCCCGGGAGAGGGGAGAGAGACTCAAAAGGAATCTTGGAAAGATGACTCAATTGGCTATTGAACCGCCCAACGGCCGACACCCCCTGAAATCCCCAAAACTCTGGGTGGACTTGAAAATGATTCCACTTATGGGCTCACCACACCTCAGTAAGTGGGTGAGGACAAGGTGCAGAAAAAGGATTGACGGCATCATGGTATCCGTCCTGGGATCCAACTGCAGTTACCCCTGCCCCCAGTGAAGGTAATACTTGCTACTAGTGTGGGTGGCTAAATCAGAGTGGATCTGATATAAGCTTCACTAGCACCATTTATTACACAAGAGTTAATCTAGCCAGAAGCAGTCCATGGTTAATAGGGTATTCACACGACTTGAAAAATGAACGAAAACACTTATAAAAGTGGACAAGCTGCCCATCGGATTCACACATACAACAGACTCGTGCAAATCTCGCATGCGTCTGTGAACTCATGTACCTCGAGTACCATACTCAAGTACTCTCGCTTTTTTTACACGCACACAAAGCACAAACGTGGGCCTAGGACCCCCGATCAAGTTTATCAAGATTTTGCACGCTCTAGGGTCACACGAGTAAAAAGAGTACCACACACGTGAGTTTTCGCGTCGTGTGAATCCCCTATAACAGGTATGTAGACTTCAAATAGAAAGTATATGAACCCTGGAACCAACAAAGGTGGCAGGTACAACATTGCACCTTCAAGCAGCCGAGCCTGTTGGCAACAGACCCAACATTGGAACCCTTAGCAAACAACGGTAACACTATATGAGCCTGGATCAGCAAAAACCATCACATGTGCAACATTTTCGAAAAATATTTTTGTGCTCCAGATTGATCCACAACCGCTGATAACCAGTCTCAAGAAATTTTAGATCAATCACAGCACCGTAAGTGACCAAAAAATGCGGTACACCACATCTCTGTACAAATGTTGGAAGTGGCATTTCTGTGTAGGATGCAAGTATGAGCGTTGGTATGTGTCTGATCCTGTTAGGCATTGCCATCACTCAGCCGGCTAACAAGGAGGAATTTTATAGTCCTTGGGGGGTGTACTCAGACACTGGCTCGTCCAAGTAAATCATTGGCTTCACTGACTATCGCGCAGCTAACAGCATATGGCCAAGTTCCAGGGGCTGATATTGCATCCACACCAGGCTCTGTACTGATGCTCTCCAAGCCCTTCACTTCCATGAAAGAATATCTGCACACACGGAGTGCAATCACAGCAGCTGTGACTACTTAGCACACAGGCTCATGAGCATGAGGTACGTACTAGGTGCAGATACATTCAACGGTTACCTAACCCTACAGGAACATATTTTTTTGAATTATTTTGGGAGCTGCTGCATGGACCAAATAAATGTTTCAAGTAACGTTGCTCAGTGTCCAAGCCAACGAAGCAGATCTTGTCTGGCGCTAGCTCTCGTTGCTCTTCCAGTCGTGAATCGAGACGCCTTTGCTCTGCATCGTCACTGTCGATATCCGACAAATTTACTAGTGAAGGAGTCGTTCATCGCTCAACAATATCCACTCGAGTCGTCGTCATTCTCATCAGCGCTGCTTTCTTCCACACGAAGTCTGCAGCCTCGCCGAGTCGCTTTGCGGCAGGAGAGAGTCGTCCTCTGGAGCTCCGCGGCTTTCACCTGACTCCCTTGATGAGCAATCGCCATCCCAGTCATCACCAAAAAATGTCGTGTCGTGATTGGCGTCAACGACGATCGATGCGCGTGCGATGCTCGCGCCCCGCGATCGTACCTATTCGCCAGCCAAGCTCAGGTACGTGGGGTTTCCCAGCCGTGTCTCCTCACTTGCCTGGGGCTCGCCTAGCTAGCTAGTCACTGACAAACAAACAAACACGGGCTTGTCAGGCGGAAAGAAAGACTGGTGACAAGAAAGACAGAAAGGTGGTGGGTAGTTGTTAGGTCCGCGACTTTTCTTTCGCTCGACTTCAACGTCACTTTTTGATCAACTTGATATCAAACACAAGCGATGGTTTTCGCTGATCCGGGCTCATATTTTACCTACTCGTACCTAGATCACCCAAATAGCGTTGAAGCTGCAGCGTAAAAACGTTATGGGGGCTGATTTATCGTTGTGACCAACGGTACGTTTTTTGGCCAAATAGTGCATACTGTAAAAGCCATTATTCTAACGAGGCGCATATATAACGATTTCCGAAAATTGACTAGTTTACGTGTACCAAAGGTAACGATTCTCACTCATTCTCAACGCTCAATAGGACAGTATATTATGTATCGATTTCTGTATAACGATTTCTATTTTAACGGCAGATTTCTCCTCGTTAACTCGTTAGAGTTAGCACTTCGTTATATATATGGCTTTTACAGTAGTCCGTACGAATTTCACCTTGTATCGCGTATATGGTGACATAAATGGTTGTACCGCGCGAAGTAAAAGCTATTCTCGTGGCAACAGCGTACTAAAAATAGCGTGCATCTTGCTAAAGGTCGAGCCCAAATCACGGTATTTTCCCCCGTAAATATCGATATTTTTTTCAAGACGATATTTGTTCATTTCTCCCCAGACCCCTCCCTCCCCCCTCAAAACGAACATACACATGTTTATGCAAGGGATCGATATTTTTTATTGAAGTTCAATTTCCTCATGAAACGTGACCAGCTGCAACTCTAATTTCATCATACACCTAGGTTTATGTTGCCACGGTTGCACAACCTTGCCATGGCTATGCTCACGAGGTGGACTTTCACTTTGTGTAGGTCTTAAACTACATGTTCGAACAGTGCCCGTCCATAGATAGAGTTCGATATTTTTTTCTGCAAAGACGAGACGAACAGGGCCCAACCCCCCCCCCCCCCCCCCAAACGAACGAATATCTTCTCTAAAAAACATCGATATTTGTGGACGGCCCCTTACGATAATACAGTTACAACATAACGTTGTTTGCTAAGGGTGTCTATTATCTGGCATAAGTGTACCCACCAACCGAACTAGCTGACACACACACACGCATGCACGCACACACACACACACGCACGCACACACACACACACACACACACACACACACACACACACACACACACACACACATAACGTTGTTTGCTAAGGGTGTCTATTATCTGGCATAAGTGTACCCACCAACCGAACTAGCTGACACACACACACACACGCATGCACGCACACACACACACGCACGCACACACACACGCACGCACACACACACACACACACACACACACCAAAAAACACACACACACACCAAACACACACCTGTCCTGTCCTGTTGAGCCACTGCCATGAAGGTTACGTGGGCCCCGGAGGGGCAGCTGAGAGAGAGAGGAGGAGCACACAGCCCTGTGACGATCCAGGTGATGCGGTAAGCGAAATCGGCGGGAGCAGGCGCAAACACATGTGAAGCCCTGACGGTCCTGAACGGTCGGACGACTACAAGTCCGTGAGCAGTGATGACGGGCGCGGCCACGTGTAGACGCAAAGCAGCGGTCACAAGCCTGGCAGTGAGCGACACAGCACAGCGGAGAAGCAGGCAGCGGCAGGGGCGCACCCACTGCTGACTGGGGGTAAGCACACTTGTGTCTTGCCAGACCCCCACGGGACTTCAGCCAACGGCCACACTCTCCACACTGGCATGCACCTTCCTGCTCCGCAACCGGCTTCGCACGCTCAACCTTACACTTGTGGCGTGCGTGATCACTGGGGCGTGCAAACTGACGGTCGCAGGTGTAGCAGGTGACGGGAGGGGGGATGCTGGGCATCTACCAGTGCTGAGTACGCCAAGCGCCAGGTGGAACGCGACTCGCATTCAGCTCACCATTCCCCCTCGAGGCCGCGAGAACGAAGGTCAGACATGATACAATCCTTCCAGCGCCGACGAGGGCCATGAGCTGGGCGACGCGACGGAAGCGTGCCAAAGAGAACTTGCTTCGGCGGCCGGTGGTCCTCCATCCGAGCAACATGTCCGAGCCATTCAAGGCGGCGGTGCTCCACCTTCGTGCGGATGGTGTCGGGATCACCCCACCTCACACGTAGTTGGTGATTGGTGATGTGGTCATCCCAGCATTCTTGGCGAGACACTCCCATGATCGAGCGGATGCATCGGTGGTGGAAGACAGAGAGCCGCTGCAAATCCCGTTGAAGAGGCGTCCAACACTCCGAACCGTACAGCAAGAGCGACAAGACACAGGCGTTGAACACACACCTCTTGATGTGGAGGTCCAGGTGCTTGTTGCCAAAGATGGACTTTTGCAAAGCGCCACACGCTCGGGAGGCATTCGCAATGCGGGAGTCAACATCGCAGGATGAACGGCCGCCGCTGTGAATTACCGAACCCAGATACTTGAATTCGGTGACACAGACAATGTCGACACCAGCTAGACTGAGAGGTACGCGGTCAGCAGCAGACACATCAGCACCAGCAACCAAAAACTTTGTCTTTGTGGCACTAACCGCGAGGCCGAATCCGGACGCCGTGTTGTCAAAGGTTGTCAATGCGACCTCGGCACCAGCTCTTGATGTAGCGAACAATGCCGAGTCATCAGCGAACTGAGCCTCCGTAGCGGTAGTGACAGGGTCGGTGCGGTGCGGTGAGACACTTCCTGTAGAGGTTACCAGTGTCAGAATTGTGCGAGAAGCTGAAACCAATACCAGGTACACCACCAACGCGCTGCTGCCATCTGCTTACCACGGCCCACATGAAAATGCAAACACACACACACACACACACACATTAACTACAACACACAGCAGCTTGCGGTTAGGAGGGTGCTGGCCAGCGAAGTGAGAGGCTATGGAGAGAGCAGGATCTTGGCGGAGCCAAGAGGATAGTCACGTCCGAAAGACGAAGACCGAGAGCCCTGAGTAACCGGAAATGAGCATGGCCAACACCCCTTTATTTACTTTATCAAAGTAAATGAGAGATGAGACATGGGAGGTGGGTGGGTGAAACACAACTATCTGGCAAGAGTGATCCACACACAGAACGGATCGAAATATATAACTAGGCAAACTTTAGCATGCCACGTTGAGTGCCCACGACGCATCGGGAAACATGCAGTGGTGCAAGAACAGAATGTACAGTGTTGTGCAGTGTGCGGTGGAGGTGGAGGGTGGATTTTGGCCGTGGTGTCGCGCTGGATACTGACGACGGGCACATCGTTGGCAGCACTATTGCTAGGTTCGCCACCCGCTCCAGAGATTGAGCTGGTAGTGTTACGCTTGCACTTGGAAGCTGGGTGGCGGCCTTGGCAAATATGGAACCTCCCGCAATTGCCGGGGCACCGGCCCGCATTGTAATTGCGGCATACTGGTCGTCCTGCGAAAACTGTGCTCGATGAGTTGCTGGCAAAGCCGGGGGCTGAAAGCTGTGGTATGGATGAAAAGGGCAGGGTCCGCTGATAGAAGGCGGATGTGCAGCGCCGCATGCCCAGCGGGCTGAACGAGCGCGTCCTGTTGTCGCCAGCTGCCACAGACTTGGCTCGATAACGTCTCACTTCAGTGATGGGTTGGCAGCAGCCTTGATGCGGAATTGCCGATCGTAATCCAGCCACCCTTCCGGCATGAATCGGCGATTGGCCTCAACAATTAGGCCCTGATTGGACAGCAACTCCGCTGTCCTGTGCGGAGCAACGTCGACCATGACCTGGACCAAGACGGTGAAGGCCTCAACCTGCGTCGCAAGATCATGAACATGCCTACTCTTGCCGCGAGCAGCGCTGGCTTCCACCACCCGCAATGGGTTCCCAACTGACATTTCAAATCTTAGCACACTCTGTGTGCGAGCGTGCAGCACAGAGCAAGACACAGTGGGTAGGAGCTCACTCAACTCGACGTGCTGACCCGTCACAATCCGCTCACGAATTTTAGTGCCCAGGTGTACAGCGAAAGACTTGCTGCTCCCTAAGCTGGCTGGGTGAGGGCCCGGGTGCGGATGAGGTTGCGAATCCACGGCCGCCAGAATTGTAGGTAGCGTCTCTGAAACCATCGAAACAATCGTGGAGCGCAAGGTCTGCGGAGTTATAGCTGACGTTGGTGACGCAGACGTCGCCAATGACTCGTGTTCTCTGCTGTCTGCTCCGCTCACTGCGCTCGGGGTAGAATGGCAGGATTCAGCGTGGTGAAGTACCTGAATCAGGCGATCGGCGAAGGCAGCTTTCCTGCCCAAAGTATTCAAACCCAAGAGCGAGAGTTCGCTGCGGAGACGCAGAACCGTCATGGCGCGAATTTCATTGACAGTAAAGGCAGCCATGGCTCGTGACAACAAGGATGAGAACGAGCAAAACACAAACTGTGAAACACAACGATCTGACAAGACTGATCCACACACAGAACGGATCGAAATATATAACTAGGCAAACTTTAGCATGCCACGACGCATGCCGCCTACGTTTAGCGTCGCGCATGAATGAATGCCACGTTGAGTGTCACGTTGAATGACACATAGATTGCCACGACGCATAGAGTACCATGTGAGCATGCACCAAGGCGTTTGACCGACATGGATACCGTTATGTACAGTGCACGTGACTGTAGCCAGCAGCAAAGCATGAGCATGCAGTAAAAGCGCTAGCAATCATAGCAGCATAGTTTGAGTGGTAGCACGAAGCAGCCGCGTGCACCCATTAATCTGCATTATTAGCATTATACACATACACACACACAGTGACACTGTTGCAGTGTTCACTGTCTTGCATGTGTTCATGAGTATTGCTGCCTGCACTTGTTGTCCTATCTTGTCCTAGTCTACAGACACAGCTGTGCTGGGCCCATATCAGGATGATGCTGCTTGGATTGGACTGCTCCATAAGGCTGCATCTGACTTTCCAGGTTATATACAGGTAAGGTTGAGCCACAGGACGAAGAGTATGCTATGTACATCTTACTCCCTGTGATGTTTTCTTTTTGATTTGTTCAAGTATTGTACGGTTACTCTAGGTGAAATCTCACTCAGAGTTCAAAGCTGGCGCCCCGAACCAGCTCCCAGTGTATGTGCATAGCTGTTGGTACGAGGCAGCTCATGCAGGCGAAATGCTTTTTGTCCATAAATAGGGAACGCCTGGAGTGTTCTCTTTCCACCGGCTTTAGTAGTCTGTCATGAAGTACTTGTATTTTGTGTGAAAGGAACAGAGTTTCAAGAATACTTCAATGTGTGACTGTGTGTTGCATGCAACAGGGTTATGTGTGGATTCTTGCACTGGTGGTGTTACGCATCTGGATTCATCGCTACCAGGTAAGACTTCTGGCTTAAAAAAAACGTGCTAAACTCTTTCACTACGTCAAGCGCAGACTTCTCACAGGAGGTGATTGTGTTACTTTGGAGGGTGAGAGAGAGAGAGAGGGCGGGGGAGGGTAGTGACACTTGGTCATCCTCTCTATGCTCTCTCTGTACATGTTGCTAAATTCGGACTAGAAACAATTTTCAGCTCAAGGACCACATATAAAGAAGTGCTGCAAACCTTATAGTTTTCTTGGAGCTTGTTTTTTGTGAACTGGTGGTGGCTGCATTTCAGATGTCTACCTGAGATTCTTGCAGAAGAACGTGTAAGAAGTCCAGTCTCACAAATAACTTGAATCTGTTGTGCCGTGTGTCTCTACGCTGTATCCTGCGATACCAGGCTGAAATAGTGGTGGTCATTCCCTCAGCCTTGCAACCTAGTGAATGTTAGTAGTGTAGTCTGAGCATAAGGTACTCTGTCTAAACATAGCTTGCTTTAGCTTGTTGAGTATTTGTGTCATTATACTTGTGCTGTCTTTCCCATTGCAGACAACAGTGAGAAATGACTTCAAGGAGGATAGGAATGAGGCTATCAGTTGCCATCTTGAGGCCAAAAGAAGGGAAAGAGAACAGGAGGCGCGTGAAGCGCAGGTGGACCCTGATGCACCGCTCGCCGCCGAAAGCCTGCATACCAGATCCACGGTGCCTGATCACTTATCAAAGGTCGAGGAGCGAGCGCTACTAGCCCGGCTTGAGGTCTACCCTGCTCCTGTAGCTGGTAGCATCTTTGCTGATGTGGATGCTCACGATGCTGATCAGGACTTGCTCTCTGCGATATGTTACCTGATAAACAACTTCTTCGAGTTGTTTGGCCAGGAGGTAAGTCAGTGGTATACTGCTCTGAATCATCTGTTGCAGCACCAGGGACGTTGGAAGATGTCCATGCATTCAATACTGCTTGTTTTTGCTGCTATGCTTCAATGACGTTATTGTTACGAATTTATTCTCGCGGTATTGCTGCTGCTGGTGTTGTTTTGGTCGTTGGTGTTGGTGGTGGTGGTGGTGGCGGTGGCGGTGGCGGTGGTGTTGTCATCGCTGCCACCATTGTCGTTGTGGTCATTTTTTGTTTTTGCAGATGGTCATCATCGTGTGTGGTATCGTTGTTGCTGTACGTCTGGACGGTGTAGCATTGGTGTATGGAGTGATGCTTGGCTTCCTAGTCAGTCCGTTGCGCCGTCACGTCACCGGTTTCTTCGCCTTGTTCACCATACTACTCATGCTTGTCCAGTATCTGCTGGTGCTCGGTGTTCCTCCCAGTGTCTGCTATGTGCAAGAAAACGGTAGGGTGTGAGTGGTTTGTGCTCGGGACAACTGGAATAATTACAGTGGAACTTGGAATAAGACGTACCCCTCAGGGAGTGGAAAAAATAATACTTAGTATCCGTGGTACATCTTATTCAAAGTTGACTCATGCGGGCCCACTAATACGATACATGTGCAGTATGTACAGAACTATATTTGACGTGTTGGGGGAGGCATGCATATGCTTGCATGGCACATCTGGGTGCGATACTACACAATAATCTGTTCCCTGCGTGCAATGGCAGTGTGGGGTTGATGTGAACACCATGTGCAAGTGTTTAGCTGTACGAAGTGTGTGCTCCCAACCTGTCCTTATTGGCCAGTCCATGCTTTCTTATGTCCCTGCTACCTGTCCCTCACTACGTACAGTGTGACTGCAATGCACTGTTGTTCCACTACAGGCTATCCGTGGTCCCCTATGCGCTGGCTGCACGCGGACGACGCTTCATTCGCACACCACTTCTACTTGACGGATCCCAACCATCCGCAGAACAAGTGGCTTCTCCTGGGTAAGGCGGCTGTCAGTCTACTGGTACCTGACCTGAGAGAGTACCTGACCTGAGAGAGAACGTTCAGGGTGTTAACAATTACAGCATAACCTGTCAAGGCGACTACTCTGATAAGGAGGCGACCACCTGTCCTAGAGGACCACTACAAATAGGACCAAGGGGTGTTATTCCCGTAGCTATGCAGAAGACGTTACTTCAGTAACGTCTGGCGCTAGCCAGGGTCCACACAGCTTTAATTTGGTATTTGTGTGTTTGTTTGTTTGTTTGTTTGTGTCACGCCTGGCGCTATCCCGTATCTGACGGCAAAAAAATCATAGGGATGTTATAAATTTTTCAATTCTCCTATTTTTTTTCAGGCATATCCTGGGATTCGAACCCGCACTATCGCCCTACATGCATTCCCCCATACACTTCGCATTCATACCCATTCTTCCAAGTTGCTTCACGTTATGATCTTGCGTTTGAAAGCCCTATTTGAATATTGCGGGCAGCTGTATGTGGCCAGCTGTGTTTGATGGTACGGTACGGGAGACGGTGTCGTATTACCCTCGATCGTACCTGTCCTGTACCTATCCCTACCGTACCGTACCATCAAAGACGGCTGGCCACAATGCATATTCAAATAGGGCTTTCAAATGCAAGATCATAATGTGAAACAACTTGGAAGAATTAGTATGTATGCGAAGTGTATCGGGGGATGCATGCAGGGCGCGATAGTGCGGGTTCGAATCCCAGGTTATGTCTTTAAAAAAAGGAATTTTTTAAAGAATTTTTAACATCCCTATGCTTTTTTTGTCTAGGTCATCAAGGCAAAAAAACATAGCGTAGGGCCCTGAGCTTCCAAGCTCTCTCGTTTCCAGTCAAATGACCCTGGATAAGAATGTTGTAGTCGTGAGTCTTACATTACTTCTCCATCACTGCATCAGCTCAACCGCCACCACTGGACCGCCTTTTTACACTCTTTTTATTGACGAATAACCAAGAACACGGAAAACGACTACATCTTGACAAGACGACAGACCAAAGACTAGCTCACACAGTTTCGTGCATGCGCACAACACCACCAACCAATAACGCGTGTCCACAGCGACCAAGACGAAACAAACACGTGACACCAAATCTACCACAAGAAGACCACCTGTACGTGGGGACCACACTTTGTAGGTCCCCTGAGCGGTCAGCTTAGACAGGTTTCACTATAATGCAGTGATAAAGCCAATCTTATCACACAATTTTTATGTGTGCCAGATCATTTTTTGTTGATTGTTCTGCTAAAGTCTGTGTTCTTGTCGCGTTTTGCAGCGGATTTCTTCCTGCTGCTCTGCCTCAGCACACAGTGGCATCATTACCGGGCTATTGCCCGCCGTGTCAAGCAGTCTGCAGCCACCAACCGAGCCAACAAGAAATACGCTAACTTTGATGCTGAACGATGTGCCACTGTGGATGGTGATGGTCAACCGACTCAGACCAGCAATCCCACTGAGCCTGGTGTACCCGACTTCACAGCTCTCAAGTATGTCTGTTTGCGGTGAAATCATGCGTTTTCTATGCTGGGTGCAGTCGTGCTCTTTCTGCTGGCTTAGATAGAGAGGTTGAGCTAACTGTGTGTGTCTGTTGCTATGTGTGTCGGTGTGTCTGTGTGCATGTGTGTCTGTGTGCATGTGTGTGTCTGTGTGTCTGTGTGTATGCGTGTGTGGTGGTTGTACTGTGTTGTTTTTGCTTCCTGGCAGTTCCTGGCTGGATTACACAAAGGTAGTGTTCACTTCCACGTCCTGTTGATATTGTGCATGCTTAGTCTTAGCCTTAGATACTGATCACATTTCAATAATTGGCTGCTGTTGTTCTGCTATAGTGCATGTTTAACTTGGTGTTTGTACTATTGGTGTCTATGAAATACATGTATATGACTACCACCTACTACTACCCACCCATTGACGTCAAGCGTGTGTGTGTGCGTGCGCGTGTATGCGTGCATGTGTGTGTGTGTGTGTGTGTGTGTGTGTGTGTGTGTGTGTGCGCGTGCGCGTGCATGTGTGTGTGTGTGTGTGTGTGTGTGTGTGTGTGTGTGTGTGTGTGTGTGTGTGTGTGTGTGTGTGTGTGTGTGTGTGTGTGTGTGTGTGTGTAGAGCATTGTTTGTTGCTGCATTGCTGCAGCGTGCAACATACTTCTATTATTTGGTTACATGTGGAGACTCACTGATTTCTTTGTGTGTGTGTTTTTGCCCCCTGTCTAGTTACCTGTAATATCACAGCGTACATGTTTTAACATGCTGCTCCTGCTTCCGCTGTCTTTGTCTGTGTGTGCTGTAGAATCTTATCTTTCAGCACTTTTTCTGGATAACCCTCGTCATCGTCTTTTTCGCTGGAGCAGCCAGAAACAGCATCCTCTGTCTGGGCTACCTCCTGTTTGCCTTCGTCTTCCTATGGATGGGCACTGACCAACTGCATGATCCTAAGCCCGACCAGCCCAGTGATGAAGAGAAACGACGAAAGGCGTCACGAAAGGGAGATAAGCATAGACAATCCAGAAAGAGAACTGGGTCACGCACGGAGCTGCCAGCCAGGTAAGGGGTAATGCAGTAGCACTCCCCTTATCCAGGCAGGTTGGGACCACGTCACAGGGTAGTGCACGTCAGTAGGAATTTTCCGTAATGCAGAACAAACATACTTATGGCATGTAAGTAGACCCCTTTAGTTTTTTAATCCAATCTTTTTGGGGCCTGTCTTGGCTGTTTTTCATTGAAAAGCCGATTTTGTGACTCTAGTCAGAAAGGTGCCCGGTACCCGAGTTAGAGGTTTACTGTGGTCTTTCATAGGGGGAAAAGGATCCTACAAGTCAGTGTGGGTGTAAGGAACAATCAATAGATATATGCAGCGTGACACAGCATGCCTTCATTAGGTGTTTGTGGTTCATTGATTCAGCGTGGCCATCTGTCTCTGCCTGGAGACTTGTGCGATTTTCCAACGAAACTAGTCATGCCCCCCCCCCCCCCTCTCTTCCCCTAAGCTCTTTGCTTGGAATTAGCAATCTGCCCACGGTGATATCATGTATGTAGTGCAGCAGGCAGCTTGTGTGTCTTGTTCGAATTGCTTGACATTCTTTTTGTGTTTTTCTGTGCTCAGTGGTGGTCAAGCTCAAGTTGATGGTGCAGACACCATGCACTCATCTGATCAAGCTCAGAACACGACAAAGGACAGTGGAGCAACAGAGACAAAACGAAAGAAGCCGTCCTTCGTTCGGAGGTAATATTCAGTCGAGGAAAAAACATTTATTTGCACTGTGTATGAGAGGCCCGTTGATAACAATTACCATGACCTTGTGATAGGAGATCAGAATTTTTTTAATCTTGCGTCGATTTTAGTACTCGCTGTGTCTGCGGGTCCCAAGATATGAAAATTGTCACAGAGCTACATGAACACAATTTGATATTTTAATAAACTGTGTCACCTGCAAGGGACTACAGTACTGTCGGGCGCCGAAGAACAAACAGGCTAGGATTTCACCAAGCAACTGTGCATAGACTGTAGTACATGAAAATAAGAACGCCCTAGGCTAGGAGGCTGACCCCCCCCCCCCCCCCCCCCCCCCCCCCCGTTCTTCGGCACCCGACACTGTACTGTATGTGTCTACTGCAGTGATACATGTATTCCACAATGCAACTTGTGCACCATACTGGTGATACATGTATTCCGCAATGCACTTGTGCACCATACTGGGCCAGCAGCTTTGCTAGCTTTGGGCGTAGGGAGCACTTAAAAGTCGTCAATTTTCAACCAAATATCCACGTGCCTTTTCCATGCATCGGCGTCGACATTTTCAAAGTTGTTCCTACACATCCTGTGATGTGCAATGCACGGCCAAACTCTCTACTATGATCCCTGTGTATGGTAAGGAATCTGTTGTCTCGTTCATCCAGTGCATTTGTCCAATTACAAAGCTACCAAGTGCAGCATAGGTGGGCAAGTAAAATGCAGAAACTGTTTGCTCCATCCAAGGTGCAATGGTACTTTACTGCTGTGTTGTGTGCTCAGGTGGAAAATTCTGCTGTGGTACACTTATTTTGTGATCCTAGTCAAGACAGCTCTTCAGGTACGTTGATGCTGCCGTCTGATTCATCCACACACGTCCGAAACCTGTGTGTGTGTGTGTGTGTGTGTGTGTGTGTGTGTGTGTGTGTGTGTGTGTGTGTGTGTGTGTGTGTGTGTGTGTGTGTGTGTGTTAAACCCCTGGCTGCTGCAACATATCTGGTTGGATCGGGACATGTATTTACGTTTTGTGTATCGCGTGCCATAAGTTCTCTTTTTTAACTCCTTGCCAATCCTATAAACTCACTGCGCAATTACTTCTCTATACACACACGTACACAGACATATACGTACACACACATGTACACACATGCATACATACATACATACATACATACACACACGTACACACACACACACACACACACGCACACACACACACACACACACACACACACACACACACATACGCACACACACGCACACACACACACATACGCACACACACGCACACACACACACACACACACACACACACACACACACATACACACACACACACACACACACACACACACACATACACACACACACACACACACGCACGCACGCACACATGTGTACAACAGTCAATGAAGATGTGTAAGGTCCGATGTCAGGTTCGTGTGTGTGTGTGTGGCTTTGTGTGGTGTGGTGTTCTCTCTGAACTGACTGCAGATATGGGCATGTGTGGACTTTGGTGATGGTGGGCTGAACTGCATCAAGGAGAACAAAAGTGGACTGTGCATTTTTGCAAGGCTTCTATCACTGGTGTGCTTGAAGCCACTGGAGGGTACTCAGACACAGGGTAAGAATGTGATTTCTCTAGCCTATACTGTATACTGTACCTCTGGCGGCTGTGCAGATTTGATTCTTCTCTTGATATGCAACGTTCTGTAATGGACCTCATGCAGCCAGAAACTTTGTCCTTGAAGGGAAGGCGTGTGCGGGAAGCAATCAGTTATTGGGCCAACTCTTCTACATGGACCCTGTTGTCCTTACGATTAACTATGCGTTGAAAGTCGCTAGGGATACATAGAAATCCACCACTTGAGCCATCCTTAACGTGGTTAACTACAGGAGCACCGGATGGTTGAGAAGTATGGGACTGTGCGAGAGAATGTTCGCCACTCCACGTAGAAGTAAGCGAACCCAGCCACTTGCTTGCTGTGTCACTGAACACTACCTTTGAGCAAGCCTCGTTCGCAAGCTGCTATCCAGCGCTTTGGTATGCTTGGGCTGCTTCGACAAACCGGCTTTCCACCGAGCCAAGCACAAACCTTACTCCTCCACGCTCATCGTGTTTCGGCTTCTTGCATTCTGGGATGTTGTAAAACGGCTGTTTGTCATGTACATGTAGTATTCTCTTATATGTTGCAGTTTCTTTCCAATACCCATCGCAGGTGGCATTGGGAGGACAGTGTTCGAAGTATCCTCAATTGCCTTGGAAGTAGTATTCATAGGGTAAAGGTGTTCCTAGGACATTGATAAGAAGGCAACCTGCTTTCGAGTAACTTTCAGGGAAGAGGATGCCAGCATAGCATCCTGCCTTTTCCCCAGCCAATTTCCCATGTCACAACCATTCCAATGTAGCTCGTAATCCTTGTTCGGAAGACGATGCCAGCGTAGCATCCTGTCATTTCCCCAGCCAATTTCCCGTGTCACGGCCATTCCAGTGCAGCTGGGTAAAGCGGGATTCACAGAAGCTTTTTTGCGATGCGACACGCGATACGACAGCCGCGAAACCGGGAAATCCCCAAATCGCAGCCATCTCACACCCCACGCAACTGCCGCAATTGGGCCATCGCAGAAGTTGAGCTTGGCTCAACTTTTGCGATGCGACAAGCGATTTGGCATACAATTTTGACCTTTTCAACAGCAAAATTGTACAAAGGTTCAGGAGTTGCCTATAAATTTGTACAAGTTGTACCAAACCACGCGAATACCGTGGTGACGTACCCACCTGCATTGAACTTCGCGCCAAATCAGCAAGGCGTTGTCGCATCACTGACTTCTTCTGTGAATGTAGGGATCTCAGCGCGTGAACTGCGCAGCCAGTCTGCGCAGGTGAGATTTTCGATCCCAAACGCGTCCAGTGCAGAAATCGTGGAAAAGAACATTTTTTCGAAATAAATCAAGTTGAAGAAGACAGTAGAAATGGCTGAATATTGCGTCCAGGAAAGCACGTTCTACGGCCATCTCCAAGCTACCAATCTCCCAGACACTCTCTCAGAGGAACTATGGAGGGTCAAAGAGCACAATCTTTCACTCTTGGACGCAGCGTGAACACCTCTTCTACTGAGCGCGATGTCTTCTCTCCGAGTGATAATGGCGGCGATGTTCGCGATGGCTGATGCACTGAAAATCGAAGTTAGGACAATCTAACCGGAGAAAACGTCTGAATTTTTGACTGAATCCTCTCTGAAGTGGGTTCTTGCCGCATGGAAAATTATAGGAAAATCAACCGGGGCAATAACGCCTTGGCCACGCTGTCCTTCGGCGGGAATTACAAAGTATGTTCGAACGACGATGAAGATGACGATTCCGCTAGTGTCCACCGCGTCCCCTAGTGTCGAAAATCGACCGTCGCCATTTTTCTGCTGTGTCCGCGAGCTGCACTCAAAACTCGATGACGCAATGTATGCGCAAACACCATGCGCACTGCACGCGCTGAGATCCCTAGTGAATGGTATTTCGCGAGTTCGCATCGCACGCGTCCGTCGCAGATCACAGTCATTAACCAATTAGCATCTAGCAAAAACCGGTTGCCGACTAAATAACTACATTGGTGATATAATCCTGGAACATTCTGGACCATTCTGGAACATTCTAGAACATTCTGGAACATTCTAGACCATTCTGGAACATTCTGCAACACTCTAGAACATTCTAGAACATTATTACAAGCGGCCAATCACAGTGCACAGCAGACAGGCATACGGGTTAAGTGAGATAAACGGGTTTTACCATACACACAACTCAAAAGCGACCCACGAACGACTCGTGGAAAAGGGTAGCAACGTGCGGATACAGAACGTGCAAGAAAAGAGTGGAACAGTGTTACAGGCAGCAGCAGTACAGGCTGAAATTTTAATGCGCCCGAAATGGGTTTTAGCCCCGGGAGGCCGAAATTTATACGCGCTGAAAATTTGTAGATTTACAGTAGCTGGTTTTGTGATGCATGTGCGTGTGTACATGTCTGTGGCTATGTGTGCGCAGATGGTGATGCTGTTGGCTTGACACTGGACGTTGTCAGCTTGGCGTTCTTGCTCTTTCAGATCCGTATCTTCAACAGCCCACACTTTGTGCACGTACAGAACCACTTGAACCTGTTTGCCAAGTTTGCCGACAAGTAAGCCGCCCCGCCCCGCACCCACGCTGTCCATCTATCCTCCTGGATGATCTGCTAGCTTTGAATGATGTGGCTTTCCCTTGCTCGTTGCATTTGTTTGCCATGGACATGTCAATGTGTGTGTGCATGTTGGATGGTTATCAGTGGCATGATTGACCTTCCTTTAACAGTATTGTACTGCCTCATTCTTCATTCCATTTGGCCTAAGCGAAGACTAGCCAAGCTTGCTTGGCGATGTCAACACGAAAAGGCTGATGATGATGTACGGCCGAAATGCTTGGCTATAAGCTTGTTTCTATGCTGACGCATATACATTATATGTGCATTGATGTGTGCCTATGTTGATGTGTGCCTCAGTGATGTTGATGTGTGCCTCAGTGATGTTGATGTGTGCCTATGTTGATGTGTGCCTCAGTGATGTTGATGTGTGCCTCAGTGATGTTGATGTGTGCCTATGTTGATGTGTGCCTATGTTGATGTGTGCCTCAGTGATGTTGATGTGTGCCTATGTTGATGTGTGCCTCAGTGATGTTGATGTGTGCCTCAGTGATGTTGATGTGTGCCTATGTTGATGTGTGCCTATGTTGATGTGTGCCTATGTTGATGTGTGCCATGTTGATGTGTGCCTCAGTGATGTTGATGTGTGCCATGTTGATGTGTGCCTATGTTGATGTGTGCCTCAGTGATGTTGATGTGTGCCATGTTGATGTGTGCCTATGTTGATGCTGTCCTGTACTGTCACAGTGGTGTTGGCCTCATGCGGACGCTGTTAGCACAGAGGCTCAACGCTCAGAAGAGATACGAGAGCGAAATGGAAACGGACATCAAAAAGCAGTACGTACATTTCAGACATGTCACTAAACCGTATGATAGCAAGAAGGCTTGCGCTTAGGGCCCTCACTAAATCACTATGCCTACACTCTTGGCCGCCCCCACTGCCCCAGATATTATCGTAATTCTTTTGGTCACGTGGTATAATATATCACGTGACCATATATTATATGTGTATGAACCATGCAGGAGTGCATGAAACCCAGGGTGTGCAGCTCGAACGTGTTGCTATCACGGCGAAATTCCTACATCATATTAGTGATGCCGTGCGAAACGTTACAAGCAGGATTCAAGCTGGTCTCCTGCTGCACAACTGCAGCTCAGTTGTACACACTGCGCCACTTCCCAGTTCCCGCCGCATATTGCACCATGTATGATGTAATCCAGGAAGTGTGCCGTGACAGATGCCCATGCAGAAAAGTCAGAAGCTGCACAGTCTTGGTATTCATCTACTCTATGTCTTTGGCGGGCATAGCTTTGGGAATAGTAAATACTAACCTTCTTATCGTGTTGCCTGGTCACTTCCGATACAGTAGGGAGGTTTCGTTCCCACGTAACGGAAACGCGTACGTGGTTGATCCACGTAAAGTGGATGAAGGGCACCCACGTTGCAATGTTGTGTTTAGTCACACGGAACAAACAAAAGCATAAAGCGAAAGGCCCAAACCTGATCAAAGACGAAGCTACCCGGGCCAAAGAAGCTCATCCAATATTTTGATTTCGTGCTTCGGAAACTTCTTCAGCTGAGCACCCTCACAGCTCGCACAATGCGCTCCATTCTGATTTTCACACACGTTCTGGCGGAACGTGGGTGAGCCTCCATACACGGTATGTCGTGAATCAGAAAACATGTGTACGTGGGTCACTGAGTATCACGTGGTACACACACGTAAAGTACCCACGGATTACGTGGGACTAAACCTCCCTACAGTCCATTTCAAAACTATAGACGCGTACCTAGGCAAAAACCGTTATGCCAGCATCTATACCACATAAAATCTGTGATCACTTTGTGCATCAATTTTTCCAAATTGGGCGTCTGTTATCCAATCGTTTAGAAACTATAATGAGAGTAATTGTGGAGCGATCCTGAGCAATATTCCGAAAACTATTCTCAAAAAGGTCCAGCCAAATTTGAAATATTTCAAAAACCCTACGCGTCTATAGTTTTGAAATGGACTGTAGTGACTCCATGTCCACCACGTGTGTGTAAAAGAAAAAAAGAAAGAAAAAAGATTTTTAGCAGAGGATGGTTTCGATCCATCGACCTCTGGGTTATGGGCCCAGCACGCTTCCGCTGCGCCACTCTGCTGACCATACTATCTTGCTCTCAATGTCCGATATGAGATGATGGCTTGCATCATCTTGTTTGATAGTCCAGTGTGCTTACCAGTACCGTAATGTCGCGTATAAAAGCAGATGCTTACATCACTGGAAGTTAGCAAACATAGATGCATGTATGTGAATTGTGTTTCAAGTCTGTGCTTCTGTGCATTTAAAAATCATAGATGCATGAAAACTAGCGGAATTCTAAACCTTTGCTGAAATCCACCCTTTGTTTCAAGTAAAATCATGCAGGCAGCCTCGGGAAGGGAACTCCATCTTGAAATTAGAATTCCCCGCAGATGATGAAAATTACGGAAAGGCAACCGTGTCAGCACACGTGCCACCGCAAACGGATCTGATCAACAGCAATGCATGCACCGCTTTATCTCCTGGCGTGGTCGCCATGGCAACGGTCGGGAAGGGTTCGGCAGGTTCTCCCACACGCTGACCACTGATCATTACGAAACGACTGCCCGGCTCTACTTTTACCCGTTCTCCATCATCTGCAGCCCTGGGCAACATAACAGGCGTGTCGTCCTGGCGACCAAGAAACGGTGCATCTTGGAGCGCCGCACGCAGATCTCGAATTTCTCTCGTCTCCTCGCGCACTGACGCCAGCGACGGCGTTGCCCCTCTCAGCGGCGATTGCTTGGGACTGGGAGTCTGCCTGGTCGACGCTGCCAGACTCGCTCTGCTGCTCCTGATGAGCACACTCCTGGCCAATTCCATGGCATCTGAATACTGGCCTTCCAGCTGCTTGTACTGCTTCTGGAGACCAGCATGTCTCCTAGAGTCAGTGTCCACCACCGCTTCCATGTACTCCATGATGACCTTCTTGGTCTCCTGGTACGCTATTGTCAAGTCGCTTCTCCATGCCTTTACGTCCTCCTGGTTCGGCACCTCATTTGTTGACTCCACTGTCAAATTTCTCCTGGTATTCGTGAAATCCGTTTTCAGCTCTCGCTTTTTCCGTGCGAGGTCTTCCAGTTTTACATCCATGATGGCTCCGTGACAACCATCCTCTGCTACCAATGGTTTGGAGTTGACAGGAGGGCATGCACATCGAAACCACGCCTTGTCAACGACCCGTTCTTTCTCAGTTTTTAACGACCCCTACTCAGCCAAGAACAAAACAACAACGAAGCACAACGACACACCAACGCTGATGTGGCATCGCAAATCCCGTACCGTGCACGCAGGCACTGGGTTGAAACAGAAGAAAGATGCGCTGCAAGCGTGCCAAGCAGCGAGTAAGTACACAATGCGTACTCATGCCAGTCATGGCAACGGAAGATAAATTATGGAGATCGATCCGCGCGTGGTTCGATCGAGAGCAGAGTACGAAAAAAGCACACATTCAAACTGTGCAACAGAAGCAGAATTACTAGAAGAGGAAAGCGAAAAGGAACACTTGTCGTTCAGTGAAGTGCTTCTGTCCAAGGGTGCTCGCACCCGACGGGGTGACAGCGCCCCTAGTCAGACAATACAAGGCAAACGAAATATAAATTAGCTGAGTCACAGCGCGGGACTCCGAAACGAAAACCGGTGAGTATGTAAATATTAAATGTTCGTACTTGCTGTACAACGTAACAATTGCTCAAAATCATAACGTAATTTCAAACTAGCACTCGTAGAATTGTAGTTCGAATGTGCCACTCGATTATAGTAACAACGACAAAGAGATACTCTTTCACTGCAGGTTGAATCGCTGTGAAAGTGTGCTAAAAAGAAAAAAATGAAGAAAAAAAGTTAGCAGAGGATGGTTTCGATCCATCGACCTCTGGGTTATGGGCCCAGCACGCTTCCGCTGCGCCACTCTGCTTCCCACACACTATCACCAAGAGTGCATGAACAAGAGTGTAACTCGGCATCTATGCTGCATAAAACCACTCCCAGGGCGATGTTTTTGTTGTTTTTTTTTATGGTCATTATGAGCCATAGAAGAACCCGTCGTAGTGTTGGGTGCGAGGCCAAATCACCGTGTCATTGAGGTGATACGGTTCAACGTTGCTTTCTGACCACCTCACCAATCTGGCTGCTGTGTCGTTTGCTGCACTTGTCCTGTTTGTCTCTTTCAGTGTCAAGTATCTGGAGGATCACCCTGATGAATTTCAAATTCTTTATGAAGGCAGTAGGTAGCATTCTGCTCTGTTCAGAACTTAGATTGTGCAAGTCAGGTATTTAGATGCTTCATTTGTGCAGCTTGACTGCGATGCTTTCTGTATCCGGCTTTGTTTGATGCACCAGGTCATTTTGGATGCTCAGCTGCTTTACATTCAGCCATGTTGCCAGATATTGGTCTTGTTCCGCTCTTCATTTCGTTGCACATTGACGCCCTGTTGCATCTCCTATGGTGTCTCGATGTACTGTGTCTGTTCTGCGCAGCATTCATACCGGATCATTGGCAGCAGCCCAGCCGGGTCAAGTCTGAAAGTCCCGAGAAGACCGCCGAGTCGTCGAGCCGAGGCATTGCATCGTCGACCACACACCAGCTTGGCAAGCTACGCAGTGGCGGTGGTGTAGCACCAGCTCTATCCTTTGCTGCACCAGTGGGTGGCAGTGAGATTGATGGTGGTGGTGAAGAGGAAATGATCATGTATCCCGCTGTTCTCGGTACAGAAGGTACATACTATGTCGTATTTTGTAGTCACTGTACCATGCACACACACGCGCGCACACACACACACACACGCATGCACGCACACACGCACGCACGCGCGCGCGCGCACACACACACACACATACACACACACACACACACACACGCACGCACGCACGCACCCCCACCCCCCACCCCCCTCACACACACGCTGCAACTGTTGCAACCACCATGCCACTGCTCTGAATATCTGGTATCATTTATGTATGTGTTTGCCATGTTGTAGAAGGCCGACCATCTTCCTAAGTGTTTTGTTGCAGTCCTTGCCATGAAAAGACCTTTGCAAGTGCTATCATGCACAGCCACTCACAAACATTATACTTTGGCGTGTGTCTCTAACATTATTACCGACTGCTATGTGCTGTATGAGACGGACAACACACATACTTACCAGTTACCAGTCAGTATAGTAACCGCATTCCCACATATCGGGTTAAGTGTGCGTGCGTTGCCGTATGAAGGCAGCTGATTCTTGTTGGTGGAGAGTAAGAGTTTTGGACATGTACCGTGAATGTGAATCCTGTTGCTGTGTGCTTGAAGAGATTATAACACTGACCAGTTACAGCCTGTTACTGTGTGCTTGGAGAGATTATAACACTGACCAGTTACAGCCTGTTACTGTGTGCTTGGAGAGATTATAACACTGACCAGTTACAGCCTGTTACTGTGTGCTTGGAGAGATTATAACACTGACCAGTTACAGCCTGTTGCTGTGTGCTTGAAGAGATTATAACACTGACCAGTTACAGCCTGTTACTGTGTGCTTGGAGAGATTATAACACTGACCAGTTACAGCCTGTTACTGTGTGCTTGGAGAGATTATAACACTGACCAGTTACAGCCTGTTGCTGTGTGCTTGGAGAGATTATAACACTGACCAGTTACAGCCTGTTGCTGTGTGCTTGGAGAGGAGACCCAGCACCGGCTGATTACGGTGACGTTGTTGATTGTTGTGAACAGAGACAGATGAGACAGATGGTGAACATGCTGACGATGTTGATGAGGAGCAGGAGGATGACGATGAGCCCATGAGCGAGGATGCCTTTGATAGCTATGTGCAGCGCATGAGTGTGCCGCGCAAGATCAAAAAAGCCGTCGATGAATTCTTTGATGCAGTAAGTTGATCTATAGGGCATTGCACAACCCGCTTTGCTGGTATTGCAGGATTTGTGTTCAAGATAGAATTCTATAATTACCATGCATGAGATTCGGGAAATATATCCTGATCCGGTTTGTGTGGGAAAGCAAGTTTTGCATGTACTTTGGTGCCATTGCAGGCAGGTTTGTTTACCCTTCAGCTTTGGTTCAGCTTTGTATGTAAGCGCTTGTGGAAGGTTGTGGCGAGTACCGTGTGTGTGTGTGTGCGTGTGTGCGTGCGTGCGCGGGCGGGCGGGCGTGGGCGGGCATGCGTGTGTGTGTGTGTGTGTGTGTATGTATGAAGTATTTTGACTGCTCAGACTTGCCTGTAAGTACCCAGTGTCTTAGTATGCTCTCTGCATGCTCTCTTTTCACCTGTAGGATTCATACCTATACACTCGTACACAGACTGTCCACTGGCATACCAGTACCAGTACCAGTACTGCCAAGTACACGTTTGTGTGCAGATAGCATGTGTTTGTGTGCGTGCGTGTGTGCGTGCGTGTGTGTCAAACTTGTGCAGACAATCATTCGCTGGCTGGACGAGGTATCCTTTGACTACCTGTATGTGGAAACTCGCCTGCGCCGCTTGATGCACAAAGAGAAGATCAAACAACAGAAAGCCCAAGGTACGTACTACATATAGTACAGTGTAGCTGGAAACTAACTTCATGCAGTACATGGCTACGTCTGGCTGGAAACTAACTCCATGCAGTACATGGCTAGGTCTGGCTGGAAACTAACTTCATGCAGTACATGGCTACGTCTGGCTGGAAACTAACTCCATGCAGTACATGGCTACGTCTGGCTGGAAACTAACTCCATGCAGTACATGGCTAGGTCTGGCTGGAAACTAACTTCATGCAGTACATGGCTACGTCTGGCTGGAAACTAACTTCATGCAGTACATGGCTACGTCTGGCTGGAAACTAACTTCATGCAGTACATGGCTAGGTCTGGCTGGAAACTAACTCCATGCAGTACATGGCTACGTCTGGCTGGAAACTAACTTCATGCAGTACATGGCTACGTCTGGCTGGAAACTAACTTCATGCAGTACATGGCTACGTCTGGCTGGAAACTAACTTCATGCAGTACATGGCTACGTCTGGCTGGAAACTAACTTCATGCAGTACATGGCTAGGTCTGGCTGGAAACTAACTCCATGCAGTACATGGCTACGTCTGGCTGGAAACTAACTTCATGCAGTACATGGCTACGTCTGGCTGGAAACTAACTTCATGCAGTACATGGCTACGTCTGGCTGGAAACTAACTTCATGCAGTACATGGCTACGTCTGGCGGGAAACTAACTTCATGCAGTACATGGCTACGTCTGGCTGGAAACTAACTTCATGCAGTACATGGCTACGTCTGGCTGGAAACTAACTTCATGCAGTACATGGCTAGGTCTGGCTGGAAACTAACTCCATGCAGTACATGGCTAGGTCTGGCTGGAAACTAACTTCATGCAGTACATGGCTACGTCTGGCTGGAAACTAACTTCATGCAGTACATGGCTAGGTCTGGCTGGAAACTAACTCCATGCAGTACATGGCTACGTCTGGCTGGAAACTAACTTCATGCAGTACATGGCTACGTCTGGCTGGAAACTAACTTCATGCAGTACATGGCTACGTCTGGCTGGAAACTAACTTCATGCAGTACATGGCTACGTCTGGCGGGAAACTAACTTCATGCAGTACATGGCTACGTCTGGCTGGAAACTAACTTCATGCAGTACATGGCTACGTCTGGCTGGAAACTAACTTCATGCAGTACATGGCTAGGTCTGGCTGGAAACTAACTCCATGCAGTACATGGCTAGGTCTGGCTGGAAACTAACTTCATGCAGTACATGGCTAGGTCTGGCTGGAAACTAACTTCATGCAGTACATGGCTAGGTCTGGCTGGAAACTAACTTCATGCAGTACATGGCTACGTCTGGCTGGAAACTAACTTCATGCAGTACATGGCTACGTCTGGCTGGAAACTAACTTCATGCAGTACATGGCTACGTCTGGCTGGAAACTAACTTCATGCAGTACATGGCTAGGTCTGGCTGGAAACTAACTTCATGCAGTACAT